GCTTAATTAAAATTTATCTTCTAGACTTTCATATATTTACATCCAATCAATCCAAAATTAATACTTCAAATTAAATGAAAATTACTATTATATTCCTCAATGTTGAAAAGGACAACGCATTCCATATTTGAAATATTATCAGAAATTAAAGCTACACTAATAATAAACAGAAACTACAGCACAGATTCCAAATGATTGATATAGAATTACCAAAACATTATACAAATAAAACTAGATTTATAACTTAATTATACAAACGCTGACCAACATTCAGGCATACCACTGCACATGGTCGGCTATCAACCACCTCTTCTTACTAAATTACGGCAACTACAATTTTGAGTGTATCATGGAATTAGGGCAACAACCATCCACCATAACCACCACCACGTCACCATCGCATAACTTCGCCAAAGAACTCCCCACAACACTGAACTGTCAATCTGATTTTTGGGGAAGAGAGAGAGTGTCATTGCCGAATTGCTGCAAGAGGCTGCAGCCGCCGATGCAGTAGGTGACTGGTCTCGAGAAACTCCGGTGAAAGAAGTGGTAGGTGGCTGGAATCTAGAGGGTGGGTGGGGAAGAAGTCAACTCTTAGATGGTCGACTTGCGATATGCTTCGCAACCACTACCAGTGCCTACCGTCGTGCTTCGTCGCGCGTAGTGGCTCCGAAAAAAATACGGCTTTGGTTTTGTTCCACCTCAAGCAACGGCAAACCATTGTGTGCATTGGCTTTCTCTGGCAAATTTGCTCCGCCCTAAGGGTTCAATAGGGGATGGTGGAGTGGTGGTAGGGACTAGAGAGAGTGAAAATGATGAGTGATTGATGGAAGAGAGAAAGATACAGAGACCTGTAGAAAGAGAGAGTGATAGTGGAGGGCTAGGTTTTAGATTAATTGGGGTGGGAGAGACCTGTAGAAAGAGAGAGAGAATGGAGGGTTGGGTTTGAGATTAATCTGGGTGGGGGTGGTTATGTTATGATGCAGATTAAGACTTAATTAAATTTTTATTCTTTTAATTATTAAAACCTAATTAACATCTGGTTTTTGAAAAGAAAACTTACTCCCCCCTTTTTTTTTGAAAATTAATCTTTAAAGGCAGGTTTTTAGGTAATTTTCCCTTTTAGAAAATTATACACGGTTTACAGTAGAGATGACAATTTTCCCCGCTTCGTCCCGTCCCCGTGGGGCCCCGCCAGGTGGAGTGGTGGTAGGGACTAGAGAGAGTGAAAATGATGAGTGATGGATGGAAGAGAAAAAGATACAGAGACGTGTAGAAAGAGAGAGAGATAGTGAAGGGCTAGGTTTGAGATTAATTGGGGTGGGAGAGACCTGTAGAAAGAAAGAGAGAGAGAATGGAGGGTTGGGTTTGAGATTAATCTGGGTGGGGGTGGTCAGGTTATGATGCAGATTAAAACTTAATTAAATTTTTATTCTTTTAATTATTAAAACTTAATTAACACCTGATTTTTGAAAAGAAAACTTACTCCCCTTTTTTTAAAAAAAATTAATCTCTAAATGCAGGTTTTTAGGTAATTTTCCCTTTTAGAAAATTATACACGGTTTATAGGTTTATCCCAATATTTGATAGGCCTACGGACCGGATAGGGGCGGATCGTTGGAAAAAGGGCCATCCCTGCAACGGGCTGAATTGGCCCAATTCAACCCATTAACACTCCTAGCCCCCGTTTGAGCCCCATTTTTTCTCATTCCATTACATTAATTTTTTCTCTCTTCATCTCAAGCACACATTCTCAAATAAAATAATATTACACACAAATCTAAAATTTTTCCACCATACATTTTTCCATCAATCACTATTCCACAAATTTTCAACCCCAAAAAATGGGGGCCAAACAGGGGCCTAATTGGAAGGAAATTTCTCATGGGCAATTTGGTCATTTAGAGAGTCATTGGGCTCTATTGAATTAAATGCAAAGTCAGAGGGCCAAAATTGATTTATACTCAAAAAGGGTAATACGTTACAAAAGGACAATTAGCAGTTCGAAGGTACCTGCCTGGACAGACCACCATGAATAGCAGCAACAGCGTACAACACCAGGAGCACCAGGGTACAACTTACATCGATGAAGAGGAAGTCGACGACGACGTTCAGTGCTCTAATGGCAAATCCATTGATAATCCTCCATCTCAGATCCGTTATGACGGTCCGAACAGCTCTCACTCTCCGCACGTGCTTCAAACTGCGGGTGGTGGTGGTGTCATGGATGCGGTAGACACCGTTGCACTCTATGACGCCGGAAGTACTGATATGACTTCTGCTGTTGCACCGGCTAGCGGGGAAGGTGGCCCTGATCAGCTTACGCTGTCGTTTCAGGGAGAAGTCTATGTTTTTGACTCCGTGTCCCCTGAGAAGGTCTGTTTTGTATTGCTTAATCTTAAGTTCTGGATACCTTTGTTTTCTGTAATTAATTTATGGATATGATTTTGAGCGTTATTAAAGAGAAAGGTTTGGTCTTTACAATGAATTTATCTTGGCTTGGTGATTTTATTTGTTTAACTTTGTAGATTATGCCAAAAAAAAGTATTTTTTGGTCCCGGAATTTTCTATATTTCATCGCCCCCGACTGTGCATGCTCGACGAAGTTTATGGAGAAAATGGCAAAAGGGCAATAAATTTGAGAAAATGGGTCTTATTTGAAATATGAGAATTCATGTTTTTCATTGGTTTTCATGCTTTTGAGTGAAAAAAAAATGTTAATCATGAGTTATTGAGTCCTAAAGGAATTGCTGGAGTGCTTGTGGGTGTTTGCATAGAAGATCAGATTTACTGTTCATAGTTACTCGAACAATTTAGTGTGTCGTGCATTCTTCTCTGTTCGTTCTCTTGCAATTTCGGTTGAATAAAATGTAGCGACGATGAAAGATAGGTTCTTCTTTGTGGATTTTGCAGGTTCAGGCAGTGTTATTACTGTTGGGTGGATATGAAGTACCCACTGGCATTCCTACTGCTGGGATGACTCCTCAAAACCAGAGGGTATACATTAACCGGCTGAGCTGAGTTACTAAACTTTACATATGGCATCATTATTGTGTCTGTTGTCACTTTTGCATTTGCTTTCTCCATAGGGGTTGGGCGAATATCCTGGAAGATTAAGTCAGCCACAAAGAGCTGCTTCTTTAAATAGGTTCAGGGAAAAGAGAAAAGAACGATGTTTTGATAAAAGGATTCGTTATACGGTGCGCAAGGAAGTTGCTCTCAGGTAATAAGATAGGAAAGTTTGGAGAAGGATATTATTGTTGGATAAGTTGTTGCTGCTCCACTTAGTCCAGCACACAATTTTCTATCTGGCATGATGACAAGCAGGGGCGGACCCAGGATTATTGTTCGGGGGGGACAGATTTTCTTCAATAGAATTTTGAGATATTCGGTTAAAATATCTCAACATATTTTCCTACAAATCAACCAAAGAATGCATAAATATACTAGTGAAGCAGCCAAGAAGCTACACAAGGAATTGCTACTTTTTTAAGATTCTGTCATCTTAAGAATTTCACCTCTAAATAGGACTAGTACCGTTGAATGATGAAGATAGTGATTTTTATGGCATAACATATGTGAGATTGTTTCAAAATTTCTCTCCCAAATTCTCTAATTCCTCTTCTCTCTTCTTTCTTTCACTTCCTCTTTATTGCGCTACCACACAAAGTGGAGTGTCTACCCTTTACCATAGAAGAAAAAACTAATGAGGATCTACTAACTTGAAAATAGGTCGGCAAAGAAGTATACACTACTTGAAAACGGGTTGGTAAAATCATAAAGCATAACAAGTCTAATAATTGTTGACTGTTGTAATAGATACTATTTATACGTAACTGAGAGTTGCTCCAATGAGGCAACCATACGTTGTATAGCCGGCACTAATTGTTCTTGTAAACACACAGAATTCAGATTAGAAATGCTCCTGTTCGAACCTCTTTTGGCCACCTTCCTAAATTCATCTTCCATTAAAAGATCTTTGGCTTCTTGAGTTGGGTTGCCAAGATTCTCATTCACTATAGCAAAATACCCATCGCCATCCTCCATCAGGAACCCAAAAGTTTTTTTGGTCATGGTCTGAAAATACCATCTGTGATAGGGAGGAGTCATCTCTAAGCACAATGCAGCCAAGTTCTCAATTTCATGGTCAGCACCATTATAGGTGTACAAAACTCGACCCCCCTTCAATACACAGCAATAATATACAATATTTTGAATTGAATTGAACCCATAAGAAAAAAAGGCCAAGACCAATCTCAATATCCACAGACTGAATACAGATCCTACCAAATAAGAACTAATCAAATAGCTACCAACCAATTTCAGTAATTGTAACGACCCGGGTCCCACTTAACGGACTGTCCCCGGCCGTTAGATCGACAACGTACTGTCCCCACTGTACCAACATGAGTCTTTTCAGCATGCTTTTGTCCTCACTCGCACGCTCCCCGAAAAAACTTCTCAGGGGGTCACCCATCATAGAATTTCTCCAAGTCTGGGTATGAGTAGTACCTATCAAATCTTTTAAGCTTTCCTGGTCTGGGTATTACAATCACCCCCCGTTAAACTCGTGATGTCCTCGTCGCGCTTGATCCATCTGAAGATCCGTTGCCAGGCGTTGAGATTCTAGATGTGGCTCCTACGGGTTCAAGAGGTGACTCCCGCCCTATGGCGTAGCACTTTGTCCCGTATAGCACTTAGTTCCTAATTTTCGGCTGGTAACCGGGCTCTGATACCACACTGTAACGCCCCAAATTTCATTTAACTCGAGGCGCTATTTAAGTCGAAATATCCTATAAATAAGTATTATCTATAAATGCCAAAATGCGTAAATACTTTTTTTTTCTCTACTATAGTAGATTAGAAATAAATGCGAAATTTTCTAGAAACCGAAGAACTCTCGGGTTGCCAAAATTCTCATTCACTATAGCAAAATACCCATCGCCATCCTCCATCAGGAACCCAAAAGTTTTTTTGTTCATGGTCTGAAAATACCATCTGTGATAGGGAGGAGTCATCTCTAAGCACAATGCAGCCAAGTTCTCAATTTCATGGTTAGCACCATTATAGGTGTACAAAACTCGACCCCCCTTCAATACACAGCAATAATATACAATATTTTGAATTGAATTGAACCCATAAGAAAAAAAGGCCAAGACCAATCTCAATATCCATAGACTGAATACAGATCCTGCCAAATAAGAACTAATCAAATAGCTACCAACCAATTTCAGTAATTGTAACGACCCGGGTCCCACTTAACGGGCTATTCCTGGCCGTTAGATCGACAACGTACTGTCCCCACTGTACCAACATGGGTCTTTTCAGCATGCTTTTTTCCTCACTCGCACGCTCCTCGAGAAAACTTCTTAGGGAGTCACCCATCATAGAATTGCTTCAAGTCAAGCACGCTTAACTGTAGAGTCTTTAACGATAGACTTCCGAAAAAGAAGGTGCACATTGTTGGTATGAGTAGTACCTATCAAATCTTTTAAACTTTCCTAGTCTGGGAATTACAATCACCCCCCGTTAGACTCATGATATCCTCGTCGCGCTTGATCCATCTGAAGGTCCGTTGTCAGGCGTTGAGATTCTAGATATGGCTCCTACGGGTTCAAGAGGTGACTCCCGCCCTATGGCGTAGCACTTTGTCCCATATAGCACTTAGTTCCTAATTTTCGGCTGGCAACCGAGCTCTGATACCACACTGTAACGTCCCAAATTTCATTTAACTCGAGACGCTATTTAAGTCGAAATATCCTGTAAATAAGTATTCTCAATAAATGCCAAAATGCGTAAATACTTTTTTTTTCTCAACTATAGTAGATTAGAAATAAATGCGGAAACGTCATTTGAATAATTTGCTCACATCCAAGTGTCAATACCAAATATAATAAGCAAAGTGTCAAAATTCGCAAAAATACTAAAACTTGAGATTTAATTTGACAAAATGGAAACCAACTATTAAAATACTTGTTTCAAATATTTATAAATTAAATGATCTATTATTTAATCAAGATTGCCCCGTTCATTGCCTTGCCTTGCCGAGCTCCTTAACCTGAAAATGTGGAAAATATTAGGGTGAGCATAACGAATTATACTCAATGGAGAAAACAGCAATCAGTCCAAGTTAAATCTAAACATGAAATCAAATTTTGAACATAATACCAATACAACATAATGTAGAAATATGTACTGTGGGACATTCTCAAGGACCCAATTACGATCCCGGACCTATTTACAGTCCCTGACAACATGTTATTAGCGCTTTACAAATTTTGCACTGTGGGACAACCCCAAGGACCCACTTTCGATCCCGGACCTATTTACGGTCCCTGGCAACCTTTTCATATGTATAAGCATTATATCACAATCAAAAATCACACATCAAGAATTAACATGGACAAAATAATCACAATTGTTTAAATGTAAACCCCACCTCAAAGTCTTGGAAATTTTCTTGAAATTGAACGGATGTGATGTTACCGTGCTTTAAACTTTTTTCGCGACCTCATCTGGCAAGAACAAAACTAATATAATTTAGGATACTATGTCCTAATTAATACTTTAAACTTTTAGGGACTTGATTGAACTTTTGAAAGTAAAGAAATGAGTAATTTGATAATTCTTGAAATCTTTAGGGTCTAATTATCAAAATTAAAATGCTTAGGGCCAATATGATAAAATTAGAAAGTAATTTATATTTAATTTGAAGAATAATCAAACTTTAGGGATGAAGGAAGAGTAAAAGTCAAATAGGGGACTAACTCAAACTTTTGGCAAAACTTGGGGATTTAAAAATGAAATTTCAATATTTAAAACCAAACCTCCCACTGCCAAATCCTATTTTCACGTCACAGAGAAGTCGGATTTCGAAATCAAAGATATCCAATTTGGGTTTTACATTTTTTATTATTTCTAACAAAATTGAGGTCGGAGAAGGAAGTCCAGTGGCAATGGTGGTTCGTGTGGTAGTGTTCCAGGTGAGAGAAGGAGAATAAAGGTTGGGCTATGTCTCGTTTGGCATGAAGAGTTGCCGGTAATCTCGGGTTTTCGAGTGAGATTATTATGTGAAAGAATGTACGAATGGGGGTTGTGTTGTTGGATTGAACCGAGAATTTGAGATGGAGTGTGAGATTTCGTTTTCTTCATTTCATTTGTTTTTCCGTTCATTAATATATTGAGAAGGAAATAGAGATTGTAAAATTCCTATGAAAACTGAAAATTAATTTTCGAAGGAGTTACCTGTGCAGATTTTGTCGAGAATATTTATTGGTTCGAGAGTGCAGCTTGAAATTGGAAGAACTAATGCAGTGCGTCAATGTGAATTAGAAGATGATGATGAAATCAAAGAAAAATAATTGTTCAAATGTGAAGAGGTTTACCTAGTTGAATGCCCAGATTTCTGTGAAGTTTCAGCTGTGAGAGAAGTATTTTTGTAGATGAAATTGATTAGATTTTAGGTTTGATACTATTAAGCCCTACAAACTTATGCTCCAGAATTTGGGCTGGTAATGGACTCAAACGTGGGCGAAAGAAGAATATTTGGACCAAGAGAAATTTAAAATAGATGTTTATGTAAAATTCGACCCGATAAAAATATTGAATTTTTAAGATTAAAAATCGTTTTGAATTCTTATTTTAGATGTTTTGCTAGACGACTCGACGGACGTAAAATAAATTCTAAAATTTGACGGAAATGTCGTAGCGACATAATTTAAGTTATAAAATTTGCATTTTAAAATTCGGGTGGCTACAACCTCATCTACTTAAATAAATTTCGTTCTCGAAATTAAACTTACTTGATTTGAAAATGTTTGGGTATTACTCATATCAACTGGGTGTACATTCTTTTCTGGAAGTCCATCGTTAGAAACTCTACAGTTAAGCGTGCTTGCTTGGAGCAATTCTATGATGGGTGACCCCCTGAGAAGTTTTCTTGGGGAGCGAGCGAGTGAGGACAAAAGCATGCTAAAAAGACCCATGTTGGTACGGTGGGGACAGTACGTCTTCGATCTAACGGCCGGGGACAGCCCGTTAAGTGGGACCCGGGTAGTTACAAATGGTATCAGAGCCCAGTTGCCAGCTGGAAATTGGGAACTAAATGCTATACGGGACAAAGTGTTACGCCATAGGGCGAGAGCCACCTCTTGAACTCGTAGGAGCCACCTCTAGAATCCGAACGCCTGGCAACGGATCCTCAGATGGATCAAGCACAATGAGGACATCACGAGTCTAACGGGGGGTGATTGTAATACCCAGATCAGGAAAGTTCAAAAGATTTGCTAGGTACTACTCATACCAACAAGGTGCACATTCTTTTCCGGAAGTCCATCGTTAGAAACTCTACAGTTAAGCGTGCTTGGTTTGGAGCAATTCTATGATGGGTGACCTCCTGAGAAATTTTCTTGGGGAGCGTGCGAGTGAGGATAAAGTATGTTGAAAAGACCCATATTGATACGGTGGGGACAGTACGTCGTCGATCTAACGGCTGGGGATAGCCCGTTAAGTGGGACCCGGGTCGTTATAGTAATTTACGAATCTAAGCAATCTATATTTGCAATAACAAGTAGACAACTCCTTTAATTAACGAGGCAAATAACTAGCAACGGGATAATATTTTATCAATAGCAGAACAATTCCTCAACTAAATATTGGAAGGGGAAGGGAATTGGGAGAAAGGGTAGGGATTGGGAATTTGGGGAAGAAAGGGGCCGGAAGTGTGGGCTTCTTTTAAGCATATACATTTCTTCATGGTGGGATTCGGTAGTTGGGTCATGGGTGGGCTGCTATGGGTTTTTTTTTTTTTTTTGTTAAGGCAAAAATTTAATGGCCCAGTAGGGGCAGTTGCCCCCACTGGGCCCTTAATGGGTCCGCCTCTGATGACAAGGACACTGATGCGTGATTTTTGGTTCACCTTTTGACGGACATATTTGGCATTATATTTCAGTTTTACTCTGTTTACTTCATTATTTTATATATATTGACTTTTTATACACTGGAACGTATTATTGTTTAAGAAAGTTAGTAATTGGGTGTTCTAGTACATCAGCAAATTACCCACATCTCATATAAAATAACACTGCATGTTACACACGGAATTAATTGTCATACATATCTCTGATAGCACCTTAGGATATGTTTTATATAGGCATTGACGCAGCGCGAAAAAGGAATTCAAGCAAAAACCTTAAGAACACGAAATTTGGAATCCACTAAATTATGGAAAAAAAATATACTCACGAATTTTGTTAATTGAAAAATGATAAAAAAAAAACAATGAAATTAGTCTTTATTTATAAGGCTTTACCTGCGAACCTAGTTTAATAGGACTAAAATTAATGAAAATTTAGTTTAAACAAACTAAAATTAGAAAAGAATTCAGAATAAACTAAATGACAAAAATAGCGCTAGAACTTTAAAAATCAGTTTTAGAAGCCTAAAAGAACTCGGGTGGTGGAAATTCATTGTACGTCATGGTGTAGCAATGAGTATTTCTCGTATCATCGTCATCTTTTCGGAATGTTATTATGAGCCCAAATCGGAATTCAAATGTTCTCTCTACACTATTACTTTTTCCTCATTTATAATCCAATTTTTCGACAATATGTTCTACATCGGGTATCTAGCTTTGTGTTGGAAAATGAGTTGGAAGTGTGCTTCTGAACCTACTAATATACACTTCTTTAGTTCCTGGCATTCCCACCCATTAAGAAAGGTTGTTGCCTTGTTTGCCACTGATTAACTGATGCGAGTCCAAATACAGTGAACCAAATCTATATGGATGTAACATTTTTTGTGGCGAGAGGATGGAGTGGTTTGGAATTGTTGTCATGCTCTTAATTAGTCATCATTCAGTGTATCATTCAATGCTTAATATCAGGAAGATGTAAGTTTCCAACTAATTGTGAGTAATTGGACATCTTTGAAAGATCTTGAAATTCGGATGATTTTGCTTGAAGCATGTAAAAATTCTCTCATCTACAATAAAAGTATTTTGCTACTTGTACATAAAAAATATACAGGACGGATTACATAATGTGATGTGAAGAGGAAAGATTTGATGAAAAAGTTGATTGCGTTTTAAACTGGAAAATGGTTAAGTGCCCAGTGGCATTATATAATTCATTGTGTAAATCTTGATGTACATGTAGCAAGATCCACAATAAAATTATGATGTGCAAATTGTAGAGATTAAGCTAGTCTGAAATGGGATGAAGCAGATTGCATGACTTGCATGCTTCTATAATGGCTAACACTTTGTTTGTATGCAAGCTGCACATCATTTCAAATCACTTTCTTTTTAAATATACACTGTAATCTGTCAGGATGCAGCGTAAGAAAGGTCAATTTACATCATCCAAATCACTTTGTGATGAACCGGGTCCATCTTCTGCAGACTGGAATGGAAGTTCTGGTCAAGAAGGACAGGAAACTTTGTGAGTGCTATTTCTTCTGAACTTTTCTGGTCCTACTAATGTAGTTGATCCTTACGACTTATTATGTTTCCTTGTCATTATTCTATTAGAAGATGACATGATTGAACTAAGCATTATTGGACCTGTAGAGATCTTTACTCTAGCTTTTGTTGTCTTTGTTGTCTTCGAAAAATTAAGTTTAATTTTTTTACCTCTTAACAGATGTAGGCATTGTGGAATTAGCTCAAAGTCAACCCCTATGATGCGACGTGGACCAGTTGGACCAAGGACATTGTGCAATGCCTGCGGTCTCAAGTGGGCCAACAAGGTCCGCTTATATTAATATTGAAGTTTAGCTCATTGTTTAGTGTGTCCTTGTATTGTTACAGTTCCTGTCCTACCTTGTTGCTGCATATCCTAGAATTTACCACTGTACTTAATCTGGAGAAATTACAATTTCCGTGTATGCGAAGTCACACCAAACCTTCCTGCAGGAGAGCACTTAAATATGCTGTTCAAGTGCTTTCTGCAGGATTATAGAACTTGGGCCGTTGAAACCAAGCTGAACATGCACGATGTAAAACTGATTATATTACCACTGCTCTCTTTTATTCAATGGCCTGTTGGTCAAATTTGTGCATGTATGCTTGATTGAATGCATTCTCTATCTGGTTTTTCCTATCTATTGGAGCGTGAACCTGAAACAATCTTCTTGACTGTGAACTCTTTCGCAAGCCTTTTCTCTCGCGCTGTTCGTTGGTTTCTTTGTTTGACTGAAAAACATATTGTCTGTTGCGTGTGTTGATATTTTCTTCCGGAATCTGTGACACGTTGCTGATATATATGTAATTTGTTTATTTTATGAAGGGCTTTCTGAAGAATCTATTTCTGAAGAATCTATGTTATGTCATTTTCAACTATTGGGTCAAAAAAAGGAAGAATATTACCAAATATCATTTTTCTTATCTACTCGTGTTGAATCTTTGAATACTGCAGGGAGTCTTAAGAGACCTTTCTAAAGTTCCAGTCGGAGCCCAACATCATATGAAGGCTAGTGAACTTGTACGTAACTTCTGAAGAGAAACTTGCTCTGTTTCAAAGTTTTATCTTGATTCCTTCAAATTATTATGATGAACGTTGGAGGTGTGTATATCACGGTTCCTTCTATCTTTTTCTCCTTACAGAGCAATGGTGGAGATATCATGACACCTGCTGCTAAGGCCATGACTACTTGTAATGGTGACAATATAGCCTTGACTGCTGAACAGTAGTCGGTAAGATTGATATTATGTTCCCTGCCGTTATTTGAGGGCCAGTTGTGATTAGAGTTTACGCATTGATAACCTGGAAACACCTGTGTAATATCTCTCAACTTTTTTATGTGAGATTGTACACATTTCTCTGTATCATTGGTTTCATATATAGGCTTTCTTTTCTAATTTGTTTTTGGTTGTATTCTGTGACGCCACTCCTTGCCTCTCTTTTAAGTGTGCCGATTGTAGTTTGATTGAGTTGAATATTCACATTTTCCTCACTTGTTCCACTAGTAGGGGAGTTTGGAGGCTGGTCGGGCTATCGGGAGTGGTTAAACATGGGGTGGGCACTTTACTGAATGACTCCGTCATTAGTGGCATTCATAGTCTAAGGCATTCAGAGTTCATTTCTGTCAGTATCATTTGGACCATATGGAAATGATAGGAATTCGGTTGCTCTTGGAGGCAAGCTGAAGGAGGCATAGGTGGTACTTGAGGCAACAAACACCGACTTATGATGTCCCTATGGTGGGGCAATGTTGAGGATAGGGGGTGGAAGGAGTCAGGCTCAGATGTTTAATCTTGAATACTGATGCAGCAATCGGAGCTGAGGAAGGATGGCATAGCATGGGGAGGTGATAAAAGTATAATCAGGTTCTGTGGTGGCGACTGCTTGTGTTGAACGGGGTAAGGGGCTTTCGAAGGTGAAACTCTCGCATATTTAACAAAAGTCAATTTATAATCAATTTCCTTGTCGTTCAAATTTCTTGGATTTTTTTCACACGTGAAAAAAGAATACGTATTGCTATTATTTGGATGAAATACAGAGTTTCAAAATCAATAGAAAATAAATGAGAACTGTACACAAGCCTATACAAGCATTTTTCTGCCATGTCAACACAATTGGAAAAAGAAATGAAAAATCCTTGGAATACTGAAAAGCATAGAGTTCGCCACACTATGGCTCCTATTTTATTGTAATGCATGTACCAACTATAGTTAAAGGTTAAAAATATTAATTGGTAGGCAAATAATGGTCAATTCTTGTGTCTTCCTCGTAGAAAAAAATAATGAATCTATAAACACCTGATCCAGAAAGTAGGATTCCATATCTAGAAAATGATGCTGGGAAGTCATCAAATGATTGGTTCTTGGTAGCCGAACCAATTCTTCCAACAAGGCCTACATGTCAACTGTCGGATAAGGACTGCGCCCACTGCCATTACCATCTGCGTTACCATAAAATGGCGAATGCATCTCCCCTGAATGTGATGACTTGCGGGGCTTTGGGTTCTTGGGCGAAGCAGGATAGGACTCAGTCAAACCACTGCTGGTGGTATATAAAGATGAGGTTGGAAGCCCATGGATCTTTGGCAGGCCTGTGGGATCGGTACTTAATTTGTAGCCCCTCTCGACTGTCTCTGCGTCAAGTGGTAGTTCATCCAACGTCTACATATTCATCAAGACGAGTCCTTGAGGAAAAAAATTTACAGAAATGACAAAACATTTGGCATTCTATAGAGTTTGGAGGCCTAATCATGGAATAACCAAAGACATCGCCCATGTATCTCCTCTGTCAATAACAGAACCGAATAAAGTACATGCAAAACACTGGAAGTGGAGGGAAGATTCAATCAAACCATCATTTCAAAAGTAAATATTGAGAGGGAAGGGAGATCAAGGAACACTTGACTGTATGCTGCATGACAATAGGTGTATCTAGAATTCAGGATATAGTTGCAGAACCTCGATGTAATGTTTTCTATCGAATCAGAGAAATTGAGCACTTACCCGGAAAGCTTGTTGCAGAACCCTAAGTGTCTCACGGGTACGTTTTCTCTTGACTGAGACCTCATCAGGTTCCTGCAACATCTCTTCAAACAAGTTGTCTCTGCTCCAAATACAACATTAACATACAAGCATCAGAATTTATGCACTGATGAATGCAACCAAAGAAATTAGAATTCAGCTAGGTTGCTGGTCAAAGCCAGATACCATAAAAGAAAAATGAGAGGAAAGAATGGAATCTTCATTTTGGGACCGACAAACTTCTATCCTCTAGGTTGTTACATTACTACAAAATTTCTTGCATTCTAAAGAAAACCAAGAAAGCCTGCATTTTCCCTCCATTCATTCTTTTTACTCTCCTCATTTTAACACACAATTATGCACAGATTTTTTCCTTAAACAAATAATGGCCTTGGACATTCTTTTGGTCTACTGAATAAAATTATGAAACGGAAACGTACCTGTAAAGTTTTCTGATGAAAACATTGTGAAGCTCTTTTTTGGTATGGTTCACCTAAGGAATAAATTCAAGCAATTAAAGAATTGATAAATAAATATTTGATTGTGACGGCAAAAGGCAGGGTAAAATTTCTGAATCACCGATAGCGCAGAGATAATAATTACAGCCAAATAGTTGTAGGGCACAACAGCTAAAGATAGCTTTTGTATCTTTCAGGGGATTCGGGGGAGAAGTAGGACTGCTAGATTCTTTCAGCTACAGATCGATGATGTAGGACAATCCTATTGTACGTAGGATAAAAGTTGAATATTTATAATAAGATATCTAGTTGTAATATGTTTTATCTTTTTAGTCTAATATCTTGTTTAGAATATGATTTTTTTTCTTTATTAATTAGAATAGGATTTCTACTTTCTTTTAGATTAGGATTTTATTTTAGTTTCCTTATAATTTTGCTTTGTACACTTTCAATAATCAATTCAATACAATAAAATTATTCCCTTACATACTTTCTAGTTTTTTTACTTTATTCCTATTTCAAGAATTTCAATTCCGCTTCTACACTAAAATTGGTATCAGAACAAGTTTTGCTTTTGGTTGATGGCTACTTATGGTGGTAGTAGTACGGAGGATTGCAAAACCAACTTAGGTCCAGAATTTGGAACGAATGTTAACAAGAATTTGCGAAGTTTAATTGCTATGAATGTTGGTTAATTCAACAAACCTAGAACACAAGAACAAGTGGTTAGAGAGTTTCCTCGAATCCCATCTAAATTTGAATAAACACAAGTTATCAGGATTCTGTAAAGGTTTGTCGAGAAGATATAAGAGTCCAATTTGATGCACAAGAAGATTTTTAGAACACGATCAACAACAAAGTATGCAATATGATAATAAACTATGAAAGAAACGAGAACTTGGTATTCAAAGCAGTGGTTAAAGCTTTAAATTTGAAGACTGAAAAATACTCATCTTCCTATCAAACTTAAGAAGTTAAAAGGGAACAAGAAATTCAAAATATAAAGGTACGTAAAATTTTACTTTCTATTGGAAAGTACTACACAGATAAGATTATATGCAACGTTGTAGAGATTGACGATTGTCATGTATTTTGAGGACAACCATGATACTGTAATGTAGATGTCACTTACATAGGTCAAGATAATAGGTTTGTATTTTGGTGGTATAATAAGAAGATTGTTTTAGTATCATGCGATAAGCAATTTGAGAATGTTAGTGTAAACAAAAAGAAACATTTATAAGGCAGATGATGAGGTTAAAAAAATGTAATTTAAGATAATCAAGATGTTGTCAACCATGATACTACAACGGAGGTAGAAAAGCATGTGAAAGTTGAAAACCTAAAACGTATCGATGCCTCATACATGGAAATTGACAATGAAAACAAGTGTAAGGATGAAAACATTCCGGTGAAATTGCAATTAAATACCTAAAGATTGAATTTGCCAGGAGTCAAACGTGAGACTCATTAAATTAAGAATAAAAGTTTCATTGGTCTTCTCTACTATGTGAATGCTAAAGAATTGCATAAGCACAAAGAATTGAAAACTCGAATTTTCATGTGTAGGGATTCAAGAATGAGAGATTGAATAAAGCATTACTAGACATTATGACAAAAGACGGGAAGTATGAAGAAGTGAAAATAGTACTTGGCCTCGATCGAGAGCGGACTTAAGAATAAGAAATCGAATTATGCTTCGTTTATGAAGAAATGTCACGTAGGAATTGTATGTGAAGAAAATAGAATGAGCATAACAAGAACAAAGTTGACTTCAAACAATGCAACTGGACAATATGAAGTTTATCGAGCACATCAAAAAATTGACATTTTTTCAATATCAATATTGACGGAAATTTTAGAATTTTCCTCCCAATTAATTGGCTTTCTTTTCTTCAACCAAATTCGATGACAAATTTTTTTCAAGTAGGAGAGAATGATATAGGACAATCTTATTGTAAATATGATAAAAAGCTAGATATTTATAATAAAATGTCTCGTTGTAATATATTTTATTTTTTTATTCTAATATTTTGTTTAGAATAGAATTTTTTTTCTTTATTAATTAGAATAAGATTTCTAACTTCTTTTAGATGAGCATTTCTAATTTCTTTTATCCTACTGTAAATATGATAAAAGTTAGATATTTATAATAAAATGTCTAGTTCTAATAAGTTTTATCTTTTTATTTTATTAGGATAGAAATTATTTTCTTTATGGGCTTGTCAATGCATTGGATGAGCCCATCAATGGAGTTGAGGAAATTTTTTTTTTTTTAAAGTCAATTAAATGTTAAAAATTGTGCCCGATTAGGCGCACTTAATCCCTTTAAGAAATTATTTTCTTTATTGATTAAAACAGGATTTCTAACTTTTTTTAGATGAGGATTTTATTTTAGTTTCTTAATAGAAGTGGAATTGGGGAATAATTTTGCCTATACAAACAAAGACTTTATACATTTTTTCAACAATCAATTCAATACAATAAAATTATTCTCTACATAGTTTCTAGCTTTTACTTTATTCTTGTTTCAAGAATTTCAATTCTGCTTGTGCACCAATCCAAGACAATTCTTGGGTACCATGAGTGTCATTATATTTATGGCCNAAATTTGAATAAACACAAGTTATCAAGGATTCTGTAAAGGTTTGTCGAGAAGATATAAGAGTCCAATTTGATGCACAAGAAGATTTTTAGAACACGATCAACAACAAAGTATGCAATATGATAATAAACTATGAAAGTAACGAGAACTTGGTATTCAAAGCAGTGGTTAAAGCTTTAAATTTCAAAACTGAAAAATACTCATCTTCCTATCAAACTTAACAAGTTAAAAGGGAACAAGAAATTCAAAATATAAAGGTATGTAAAATTTTACTTTCTATTGGAAAGTACTACACAGATAAGATTATATGCAACGTGGTAGAGATTGACGATTGTCATGTATTTTGGGGACAACCATGATACTGTAATGTAGATGTCACTTACATAGGTCAAGATAATAGGTTTGTATTTTGGTGGTATAATAAGAAGATTGTTTTAGCATCATGCGATAAGCAATTTGTGAATGTTAGTGTAAGCAAAAAGAAACATTTATAAGCCAGATGATGAGGTTAAAAAAATGTAATTTAAGATAATCAAGATGTTGTCAACCATGATACTACAACGGAGGTAGAAAAGCATGTGAAAGTTGAAAACCTAAGACGTATCGATGCCTCATACATGGAAATTGACAATGAAAACAAGTGTAAGGATGAAAACATTCCGGTGAAATTGCAATTAAATACCTAAAGATCGAATTTGCCGGGAGTCAAAGGTGAGACTCATTAAATTAAGAATAAAAGTTTCATTGGTCTTCTCTACTATGTGAATGCTAAAGAATTGCATAAGCACAAAGAATTGAAAACTTGAATTTTCATGTGTAGGGATTCAAGAATGAGAGATTGAATAAAGGATTACTAGACATTATGGCAAAAGACAGGAAGTATGAAGAAGTGAAAATAGTACCTGGCCTCGATCGAGAGCGGACTTAAGAATAAGAAATCGAATTATGCTTCGTTTAGGAAGAAATGTCACGTAGGAATTGTATGTGAAGAAAATAGAATGAGCATAACAAGAACAAAGTTGACTTCAAACAATGCAACTGGACAATATGAGGTTTATCGAGCACATCAAAAAATTGACATTTTTTCAATATCAATATTGATGGAAATTTTAGAATTTTCCTCCCAATTAATTGACCTTCTTTTCTTCAACCAAATTCGATGACAAATTTTTTTCAAGTAGGAGAGAATGATATATGACAATCTTATTGTAAATATAATAAAAAGCTAGATATTTATAATAAAATGTCTCGTTGTAATATATTTTATTTTTTTATTCTAATATTTTGTTTAGAATATAATTTTTTTTCTTTATTAATTAGAATAAGATTTCTAACTTCTTTTAGATGAGTATTTCTAATTTCTTTTATCCTATTGTAAATATGATAAAAGTTAGATATTTATAATAAAATGTCTAGTTCTAATAAGTTCTATCTTTTTATTTTAATATCTTGTTTAGAATAGAAATTATTTTCTTTATTGATTAGAACAAGATTTCTAACTTCGTTTAGATGAGGATTTTATTTTAGTTTCTTAATATAAGTGGAAATAGGGAATAATTTTGCCTATACAAACAAAGACTTTATACATTTTTTCAACAATCAATTCAATACAATAAAATTATTCTCTACATAGTTTCTAGCTTTTTACTTTATTCTTGTTTCAAGAATTTCAATTCCGCTTGGGTACCAATCCAAGACAATTCGTGGGTACCATGAGTGTCATTATATTTATGGCCAAAAAAATTGAAATTGAAAAATTAATAAAAGAGAACAGAAAGATGAGATTTCATGAAATGATAACTAATTACCAGAAAATGCATGATTGCCTTCGGCACAAAATCTTCAACGTTTTTCCGCACAATGTCATAATATGACTTCAATAACAGTCTCGTAGCGGTGATTTCAATAGCCGCCTCATCAGAATGTGTTTCTGAGGGCCTCAAGACAATAGGGGGCTTTCATAAAGTGAAAAAAGAAGCTTGTTAGGACACAGAGAAATAGAAATTTGATCTCAACTTTCAAATAGTATGAATGTTCCCGAGGGTCTACTTTATTAAGGTACCTCTCTCAAATGAATCAATGAAACTCCATGATCAATGATGCTCTGAACAGGTTCACTATATGGCTTGCTTGTTGAATTCTCTTTAATAGATGAACGATCAGAGATGCCAAAAATTGATGATATTCCCCAGGTGGCACCAGTACTGCTAACTGGTTAATCATTTATATTTAAAATATCAGGGCTTCGTGATAGTTTTAGCATGATTATTAAAGGATGTCTTCTACTACAACCAGGATTACTATGTAAAATGACAACTATACCTCCTTTTAATTAAAGAAAAATAAAAAATCTTTGATGCGGATATCATCAAAACTTAATTTTATTGTTTTTTTTTATAAGTAAAGAAACTTTTATATATATATAAAAAAAGGTCCCAATATGCTAGAAGTAAACAAAAGGACAAAGGGATCAAAGAGTACAATGGTCCAACAAGTCTACAAGAGAGCTGATGGAAAGAAAACCCAAACCCTTAACCCACTCAAAACAATAAATAAAAGCCGCTGCTCTTCAACTCCAAAATGGAGGTCTCAGTATCCTCGAAATGTCGAACGTTTCTTTCCCTCCAAACACACCAAAAAACACAGTGGGGAACAACCCTCCATACCAAGGAAGTCCTACTACTTCCACTAGGCCCCTGCCAACATGAGAGAAGATCAAAAACAGTTCTCGGCATGACCCACTAGACCCCGAACAAAGCAAACACCAAATCCCACAATTCCCGAGCTAGCTTACAGTGCAGAAGAATATGGTCAGAACTCTCCCCACTCTCCCTACATAAACAGCACCAATCCACCAAAATAAGGCCACGTTTGTGAAGGTTATCCATAGTCAAGATCTTCCCCAGTGCTGCAGTCCAAGAGAAGAAAGCCACACGAGGAGGGACTTTGGATTTCCACACACACTTCCAAGGGAAAGTTCTAGAAGATGGGGAGCTCAAGTAACGATAGCAACCCTTAACAGTAAAAGCTTTAGAATCCGAAAAACCCCAACTAATCAAATCTTCCCCTCTACCTTGCACCTTAATAGAGTAAAAGATATCCATAAAAGAAGAGATGGACTCCAACTCCCAATCCTGCACACTTCGAGTGAAGAGCACATCTCAGTGAAGCATACCATTAATGTGAGACATGAGATCGGCTACTGGCGCACTTCTGTCCAGGGCGATAGAGAAAAGCTTCGGATAAGCCTCCTTCAATGGCACATCGCGACACCACCTATCATACCAGAATTTCACCCGAGATCCATCCCCCACCAAGTAAAACAAGTGTTTCAAGAACGAAGGCCAGCCTTGGTGAATTGATTTCCATAAACTCACCCCATGAGAATCCCTCACTTCCTTGGTACACCAACCCCCCCAATTACTGCCATATTTGGCAGCAACCACTTGATGCTAAAGAGCATCTCTCTCCATACCAAAACGCTACAACCACTTGCATAAAAGAGCCATATTAAAACATTGCAAATCCTTCACCCCCAACCCTCCGTTCTGAATAGGCTCGCAAACTTGAGACCACGAAACTAAGTGGAATTTTGTCTCCTCCCCCATGCCAGACCAAAGAAAGTGCCTCTGGATCCTCTCTCTGTGGTGTGCCACTCCTGCCGGAATAGGGAAGAGCGATAAAAAGTAAGTGGGTAAAATAGAAAGAGTGCTCTTGATTAAAGTCACATTTCCCCCTTTAGATAAATAAAGGCATTTCCATCCTGGTAGACGCTTCTCTATACGCTCAATAATCGGATTCCAAATCGATTTGGCCTTAAAGGAAGCACCCAAAGGCAACCCCAAATATTTCATTGGAAGAGACACAGTCTGACAACCCAAAATATGAGCTAAGACCTCCAAGTTAGGGACAGCGCCCACAGGAACCATCTTAGACTTGCCCAAATTGATCTTCAACCCAGAGACCACCTCAAACCACAAAAAAAAGAACGCAAATGCTCCAATTTAATCGGATCAGCATCACAGAAAATCAAAGCATCATCCGCAAAAAGTAGATGAGATATCGAAACTTGGTGATCCCATGGGGAGGAGACAAAAATTTCACTCAAGTTTCATAAGCGAAAACGAGGTTATGACCGTCACGATACTCATTCTCTTCCACGTCATAAGGAACGTTCATTTAGAAACATTAAATTAGGTGTTTCTATTTTTGATGGTTGTTTAGATTTTGAATTTTTTACTTAATGGACTGCCCTAAAACAAGAGAATCGGTTCGTGACAGAGTATATTGCTGAACTTGAGGAATTTCAAATGAAATGTCATGTCATTGATGATGAAGCCTTGACTTTGAGTAAGTTCAGACAAGGTCTAAGAGATGATCTTAAGCATGAGATTTTCCTTCGGAGTGTTACTACTCTTGATCACGCTTACTCTTTAGCCCGAGATTTTGAGTTGCTTAGTGGTACTCCATATGAAAAGCGTGGTGACAACCATACACCAATCTCATCAGCGCCGCTTCCTCTTAAGTCTATTAGGAGACCTTCCACGTCAAATGTTTCTTCTGTGTTCGAAAATAAGGGTACAACTTCTGAAATTCCAAGGACTTCTTCTCACTTGCAGTGCTTCAACTGTAAGGATTTTGTCCACACATCTTCCAAATATCCTAACCGAGCCTTAGAACGAAAGAATATAATAGAAGAGCAGTTAGACGATCAAGTCTATGAACCTAAACTTGAAGAATTTGATGACTTTGATGATAGTGTGAACACCTCCTTAGGTAGTATTCGAACTTTTCCTATGAATCTAGGTATTGTACCCCTTGTTCCCAATACATCTTTGTCAAGTGTTGTATGTCATACCCTTAACCAACCCAAAGGTGCTATTCATTTGAGTAATTGTGCCATCTTCAAGGAAAATCTTGGGAACTGGGATTTGATCCTCCCAACAATTAAACTTACATATAACAATTCGGTGAATCGATCTATAAGTATGAGTCCCTTTAAAATTATTCATGGTTATGAGCCTATAAAGCCTTTAGACCTTATTCCCATGTCCCCACATGCTAGTGTGTCGATGTCAGTTGAAACATTTGTACATCATCTTCATGATTTACATATTAAGATCAATAAACGACTTGAAGCAAGTAATGCATTATATAAACTTCAAGATGATTTGCATAAACGACATTTTGAATTTAATATTGGGGATTATGTTATATTGCAAGCCCGTAGCGCTGGTCATTTTAAAATTTTAAAGCATGTTAGTTCAAATGCACGTCATTGATCTTTTATCACCTTTTGGCTACCACTCTACTTTAAATATTGAGAACTTCAGTACTTACAAACATCGTTTCAAGTCCTTTGATGACCCTTTTCTATTTAACTCTGTGGACTTCAAATATTGTATCTATATTGATATTTCTACTTCCATACCCTCTGTCACAGTACACAAATACAATTGATGTTATTTTAGATGAACAGATTGTGTTGACCAATGATGCAGAGATTTGGTGCTTCCTTGCTTGTTGGGTAGTTCCACCTGATGCAGGCAGCACACCGTACATGGAGTCCTATAGAGAAGCTCGAACAAATCTGGATTACACTATGGAAGTTTCGATATTTGGCTTTTACGAAAGATCGTCCCCCGTGGTAGAAGTTTATCCACTCGACATGGTCGAGTTTTTCTCCCACCTCGGGAGAGTTCATGCGGACATCATCGAAACTTAATTTTATTGTTATTGGACTTTATCAGTCGAGACTTAATTTTATTGTTATTGGGTTCTATCATTTATGTTTTTTATTTTTATTGTTATTGGGCTTGTAGTAGTGGGTTGGCCCAAACCCGTTACTAGCTAGGTTTTCGCTATTTATATGATTTTCATATTGTAATTTAGACAGTGGATGAATATGATGAATTAAAGAGTGGCTTGCAGCCCCGTTTTCTTCCCTCTTCCTCCTCTTCCCCTCTTCTTCTTGCTTGCCTTCTAACTTCTTGGCTTTAATTCTAATTCACCCTAAATTCTAATTNTTTTCGCTATTTATATGATTTTCATATTGCAGTTTAGACCGTGGATGAATATGATGAATTAAAGAGTGGCTTGCAGCCCCGTTTTCTTCCCTCTTCCTCCTCTTCCCCTCTTCTTCTTGCTACTTCTTCTTGCTTGCCTTCTAACTTCTTGGCTTTAATTCTAATTCATCCTACATCAATCTTCCTCACTCATCCACACTTCCTGTCCGCATCACCCTTAACTCCCAACCCTTCCCCCATATCCAGTCCCCACCATACTGGTTCTTTTTCATACTGGAAACGAAATCAAAAATGTATAAACTCCAATATGTTCTCATCTTCACATGAATAAGGTGTCAATTTGCCATATTTGTTAGAAGCCTTGGCTGGTTTTTGGTGTCTATATTACATATTGAAATAATAATCAAGTGCTCAGATTTTAATTCATGGGTTTCCTCCCGAAATGAATCAGACATCTAATATTGAAACTGTTTACTCCATGAAAAGATAATATTGAAACCGTTTACCCCATGGTCAACAAAATAATAAATTACCAGATGGTGTAGTTTTCTCGCCATTTGCAGGATGTCGAACACCCTGTTTTCATCAGTGGAAACAAAGCAATTAGTAATTTGAATAATGGAAATCACAAGTTTGTGTTCTGCTCAAATTTAACAACATGCAACTCAAGAGCACTTGTAGCGTCCCCCCATAGGCACCTGAGTTCTTACGGATAGCTTACCTGCTCAGGAACAATTCCATTAACATGCCTACCAACAATAGCACGAGATTTGAGATTTTTCTCTGGGTTTGGCGCTATCTCCGAATCTCCTGTATCCTAATTGGTAAGTGCAAGTTGTAATGAGGAACAGATAATTAGTAAAGAAAACAGGTGGGGACACAAAACAGTCAGTTCAGCAGAGTATACATTTACCTTTTGCCTGGAAATGGGTGCAGCAACCCTGGGGGCCTTGATCTGTTGGCGTGCTATCTCTAGAGCTTTACTCCCACCAATAAAATTTGGATGGGAAGTGTTAATGTAATCCATCTGAGGAATGGAGAAAGTAGATTGAAGAAAAAAACATAAACCAACACACACACACTTGTATTTGCAACAAAAAGAAAGAAGTGGAGCATAAAATAATCCAAGGAGAATGATTTATAAAAAGAAGCTAGGAAGCATTTAACAAATAAATTCAAGTAGTTCTTATAATTTAGGAGATCTTAATTCTTGCCTTTTTCCCTGATAGGAAGAAGATTCAATTCCCTTCATGATCTATCATATTAGAAAATGATAATGCAAACCAAGAAAGCGCAAAATTCTGATCCTGGAATAAAATTGATATGCGAACATTTTGAACCATGCGAAATTTTTTATAAATTTGATGACAGATTTCCATCGAAGACTCAGAATTGTTTGTGAATTACCTGCTGCATAAAACTCAAGTTCGGCCAGATTACAATCCAGATTAATCCAATCAGGATATTGCAATACCAAGGTTCCACAGGAGAAGGATTTGGCTGAAATCTAAATGTAATGCATCGTTGTTTTGAGTATACATGTAACAATGCACTTTGAAACTACTGAAATTCGGCAGAACCATTCGTACAAGCTTGAAATTAGAAAGGAACTTTCAAATTCTAGAATGAAAAAAAAAATGGAAAATGTTGTACATTACTTGCAACTTTAGTGATTAAAGTACTGCAACGAGCAGGTAGGGAAACCCTTTACAACAGAAGAATGACTATTAAGAGTAGCTCCTCAAAAAAGCCAGTTAGTTAAATTCTCCAATCTTTGCTGCCCGGTTAATTAAAATGTTCTTTTTGATGAGAATGTGGGTTTTGACTCTGCTATTGCTATGGTTGCGCTTCAGGTACCATCTTAATGAACTTCACTTATAATTTTCAAGAAAACTTCTATGAACAATGGTAACGTATTCACATTATTTCATAGATCAAAAGAAAAATCAACCACCAGAGATAGTATAGCAAAAGAATAGTGGATATTATCGTGTCCTTTGACAACCAAAACCTGATTAGGGGAGGGGATACAAAAGTTCACATACAAAGACAGATGGAGCCCTGGAAGAATGAATGGCGAATTTGCCATTTTTGGGGTAAAATGTGTCTGTGTGTGTGTGTGTGTTGTGCATGGTAATGAGAGGAAAGAGTTCAACGAAGAGGCACACAATACTAAGAAGACAATGGAGTTATATTAAACTTCGCGGTGAACATACCTCCATTTCAATTATGTGTCCTATCATTGTCTCTGATGGCTCAAGGCCTTCCCATAAAAAATTTCCTATAACCTCATCCATGCGCTTTCTTAGGATTGGAAACCGTTGCAATTCATTGACCATACAACGATGACTCATCTAAAAGAAAACATTCAAGTTGAAGTCCACAAGCAGAGGCATAATAGCCAAAAAGCTGCAAGCAATTTCCTACCAAGCACATACCTTCACTAACTCATCATAGATGAATCTAGCACACTGGAGACTTGGGTCCAACAAGAGAGCTATTTGTCTTCTAACAAGAACTTCAAATGGAACCTACATGTCAGAATTTAATGTGTATGCTAAAAGTCAAATGGAAGGCCCTTCATATGAGAAAGGAAAAATTCAGAAATTTTAAAGATAATAGTCACTATACTAGCGAGATAAGAACTCTGGTATAGAAGACCTACTTCTGGCACAAACAATGCAGATCTAGGACCAGTTGCATTTCGAATGGCAGTGTGGATGTCATCATCAGTTAAATCCTCACAAGGGTCAAACTCCTGCCACCAAAAACAAATTATCTCTATTAAATCAAAAGCAATCACTCCACATTATGACATCAGATGACCGCATAGTATGGGTAACATCCAGAAGCCTAAAAAAATACTTCTAGAGAAAGTGAAAGCTTGAGGAAGACCAATCAAAGTCGAAGTTTCATGAAGATTAATTTGCAGAAGGCAAGCCAACGAAATAGTAGATAGACTGTATTATGTTTGTGATAGTTCTTTTTTTATTTATTAAGTTGCCTTCAACCCTTCGAATACTGTATCCTTACTTTCGGATATCTCTATTTCATGTATTAGCTTAATTCAGCAGTGATGTATAGTGCCTCCGTTTTCAGGCAAGTGAGAAAATCGAGCAGGCAGTTTTTACTTGTACACCGAACAAAAAGTAGAGTTGGACTCTGAAAACCCGCTTGCATTCACATTTTGTTACTGGGAACATATCTTATATCAGAAATATAGAATCTACAATTTCAAAATGCATGTTCACAACATTCAAATAAGAGCACAAACCTCCAAGCTCTTCACGAATATATTTTGGAAAATGTAATGGATTCTTGCTCCACCAGACAGCTCAGATGTTGACATCTCTTTATTTTTCCCTTCTATCATTGAAGAGTATGCTGTTTCCAACATCAAAAATTGGCACCTCCATCAACAAGGTCCGGCATAAACTAAAATCTTCTGGGGATTGGATGTCATGCGAAAGTAAGGCCGCAAATAAATGGAATCTGAGCTGGGATTTTTCGTTTGGTCGTTATGTTTTCTAACAAAAACTTGTCCACAATTTACTCATATTTGAAAGAAAAAATAAGCAATAAATAATATATCACCAAGTTATTAACACGTTATGTAAGAAAATTAAGCCGTTGTTTGGTTTGGATTAAAATCAAATTAAAATCTCAAGTCAAAGTCAACAATTAATTTTAGCTACACATTTCGTGGGACATACAACTTTCCAATCACACATTTAATCAGTTTTTATCAAAATCTACTTAAAATCTGATTTTAATCTACAACAAACAGGGACTAAATTAGACAACTGATATAAACTTGTGAAACAAAGAGAAATATTAACCATCTTGCTGTATTCTGAGTGATAAAAACAAGACATGTTTGAAAGTGCGTGTAAAGAATCAGTATCTCATTATAAAATTGGACAAGGAATATGAACACAAATGAACCCTAAGCGACAGGAACTGCAAGTTGTTAACAAACAGCTCAATTCATCTGCTCCCCAACATGAAAGCCTCAATAAGAAATCAAATAAGAAAATGCATAGAGTTGAACCTAAAAAGTTTTCAAATAAAGAGAAATAGAAGTCATATACCTTCGGAGTATTTTGAAAGAATATTAAGTAGTAGTGCTCCCTGGCCAGCCTATTGGTCACAAAAGGTGAAAGATTAATAAGACAGGTAAACCAAAAAGCAACCAGATGGAAGGCTAGGTGCCATCACAAAAAAAAAATGCAATTAATCTAAAGGTGAAGAGCCTAGACCATTTTATAAACTGGCTGTCAATTCCACTCGCTATTATGGAAAATCAAAGAGTGAGGGGGTAAAAGTAGATCTAGAGATATGCAAAATCTGTTATTCCACTATTCAGCCTGTATACAAATATTTTCCCATTTAATAAATTGGAGATGCATAGTTCCTCCACTAAATTCTAGCAGCATAATATCACCCAACAAGATATAAGAATATAACCTTAGATTCAGTAATTTCCCCATAGCTAGCATGCTCCTTTGCAACAGTAACCAGTGTGGCACTAATGCGCGACTTTAACCCTGGAAGAACTGTCTTGATATGTTGCACGAGAATCTGCATCACAAGAGGAAAGCTTAAGTCACATCACCTGATATTAGGAGAAAACACTCAATAATAATAATAATGAATTACAGAAATATAAGACTGAAGAACAATCAAACATCACAAAAAAAGAGGACAAACAACCATGATATCTGCAACTAGATACTTGTATATCACAGTATAGTGGCATTTGTGCACACTGCACTGAGTTGCTCTATTGATACGTCCATACCCTTCAAGACATGTATATATGCATAGGAGAACATATATGTGGTTGACTGCATAGATTACTCAAGCATCACGTAGCAGGTGTTATGTGAAGAAAAGGGCAATAAATGTTCGGCTCATGTGAAATAGAAAACATAAGCAAGAGACACCAGAAAATGCATAAACTGAAAAAGCTGTATGTATGCTTGCAAGGCCATGAATTCAGAAGGCAAGTTATTTAAGATGAAATAGAAAATAAGGGGTCAGTGTGACAATATGTACCTGGTTCAACTTCTTTGCCAACTGAGAAATTCCACAGCGATCAGCTAGATCGCTATATACCTACAACCAAGAAAGATCAGCCACCTGAGTGATTAAGTGATGGAAGTACAAGTTATCAACTGTTAATGAAAGAGATTCATACTGGCCGACTACGAAAGAACTTCTCCTCAGCTATTAATGCATCCTTGATGCTCCGATTCATCATAATATCCTGTTCAGATACAATAATCTCCAATCAGATCAGAAATCTTTAAAAAAAATTTAAAAAAAGAAAAAGAAAAAATCGAGGCATTCAAATACAATAACAACCAACCAGATCAGAAGTCTTCAAAAAGAGATACAATGAGATAATAAGCAACAATCAGTGTGAATATATAATATAGTATTTTTTAACAACACTGCTGACGCCCTATCATTCCTAACCTGTAAATAGTTACATATCACTACGCAACATCACACGTAATTTCCTAGATGTCACAACATGATTTCCCCCTCGGCCTTTGAACCAGATATAGCCTCAGGTACTCCTAATCTGTTTATTGAAGACCTACCAAAAATGTGTTTTAGACTTGAACATGAAAAATAGATTCTGATATATTTTCTTGTATTTTGATTTAGGGTTTAGAATTTCTTACCCTGATCATTAGTTACAAGTTGAGAAATTTTCCATTTTATTATTCTGGTAAAATCCTATTTTTGCCAGTTTATTTAATATATTCAATGCTAATGAAATCCTTATCTACATTTCTCTAATTTAGTGCATTCAGTGACATTCTCCAATACTTACACCATCTTACTCCTTCCCTCTCTCTCTCATCAAAAGAACAATGCAAGAAAAAAGGAACCAGGTAATATACTAAACATTAATGCTACATATGCAATTACTAGCTACAGAATACCAGACAAATACTCAAATGTTCACTCTTCCAGCTTTCAACTACTTGCTGCAACTAGACTTTCAGGACATAAACATCTAATTTAGCATCTACCACTTATATACTACATAGTTATAACTTCAGTAGAGGCCAAGCTCATAAAACTGCAAGAAAGCCAAACAAAGCACTCCAGGACACAATTTAACCTCAAATAAGAACAAAGCAAAATATTATATTACTGGATAAAAAGATGAATTTCACGTAAAATAAAAAACGAAAAATGATGTTATGTCAATCAATTATTTCTGAAATATGATAGACTATAAAAAAAAATGCATGAAATAAACCAAATCAAGGAGCAATGTGATGTGGTGCAATGTCAATAGTTTCTTTCTGAAATCTGATAAACTATAAACACAATGCATGAAATAAACCATATCAAGAAGAAAAAGTTTTAGGACTGACACAATGCATATCATCTCAAATAATGAAATGAAGATTGGAGAAATCACTGGTAAAAGCATTTTGCACTTAAACTCAACCTATCAATAAAAAAACAAAGAAACGAGAAACACATAGCAGAAAAGATATCACTTCAATATTACTAATACTAAGTGATAACATACATTATAGATAAGGACATTTTAAGCAAGTAAATGAAAGTTTAAGGAGTCCAGAATGAAAAATGTAAGAAATTAAGCCATTGTTTGGGCTCCACTTTTCCAAAACTCATATTTCAACCTCTCATTCTCCCATAAAATAATGTTACATGTAAACCCAAAACTTTTCCTTAATTTTAACCACACATACTCCAAAAAATCACCATTCCAATACACAATTTCTCCCATAATTTAATTTTAACGAAGCCCAAACAGGGGCTAAGTAATTTACACAGCCATTCAAATTAGGAAAGAAGAAGATGAACCTCAACACAGTCCTCAAATATGAATAAAATAGAATACTGTAAAAAGTTCAATATTTCCCCTTCCCTCTGAAGTAAAAATGTTACCTCTTGACTACGATTCACAACACCTACATAACCCAGTCGAAGAGGGATCACTTTTCCAAGTAAAAAGTTGCGGGCATCAGTTCCTCGGTCCATAATATCCAACTAACGAAGCAAAGAGAATACGAAAGCAATATTAGGATAACAAAATGCCAAACAAAAGATACAAAATTATTAGACAGAAAAAATCTTCACGACAAAGAAACTGCACCTTAGTAATTACTCCGATTGTTCGATAACCTGCAACCAGAAACTTGTATGCATAAGCTTTAGAATACAACAGCACACTCCGCAAATGCTAGATATTCATTTTTGGTGATAAATTCCTTTAAATAAGAGAAGATTTAAGAGCTGAAACTACCATCAGGATCTGCAATTCCTGCCATCTGAAGAGCATCCGAGTTGGCTAAATCAGAATTTGCAGGCGTAACAGCCAGTATCATGCAAGTCTGAAGTTTTATATATGACATTATCATTGTTCTAATACGTGCTTCAATATCAGATGGCTGATCACCAACAGCAACTTTTGTTAAGCCTGGCAAATCCACAAGAGTAATATCAAGAACATTTGGTGAGAAAATCTTTAGACGAATCTGCTTGTCTGACACGCCTTTGTTTCCTCCCGCTTCTCTCTCGGTTTCAGCCTAAACAGAATTCCAGAAGGCTGGGTATTAAGATAAAAACCTATTAACAAAATCTAAATAAAAGATAGATAAAATGAAACTTTTTTTAACAACTAAATCAATGAAATTGGTTACATGAAGCAATTTATCTCCAGTGCTAACCATGAAATTATCATGGATATATTTGGAGTGATTTATCCTATTAAAGGATCACTTATATGTATTTGATATTGCACTACTCCAAGCAAAAATAAAATAATAATAATCTAACTCCATTAAGTTTAAAATGATATCCCTAGTTTCACAATATCAACCAACATACCAAAATGGTCAGGACCAAGGTGAGCATTTCATTATACAAGCGGCTTTTCCATCTAAAGGCTAATGTTTCAGATACTTAAGTAGAGATCTTTCCCTTACTCTCCACAATAAAATTTCACGTTTGAAAGCCCAGGACAAACAGAAACCAAAAAAATTAAAAAATAGAGAAAGATTGATGAAGCCATGCATGAGCTGCACTCTAGAAAGCATGTTCCCTCAGAAAGCATGTAGAACCATTTTTATCAACTTATGATCAGATTTAGCATGGTCCAAAGTAAAGCATCATGGATAATAGTACAACTTTAAAACAAACCTACTACTTGATTTACGGTAGTAATAATCCATATAAGCACGGTTCACTAGATTGATGGATCCAACTTAGGATTTTAACATCATAATTCGGAAGAATTATATTTATCCTTTGAGAAAGGTATAAGAACAGAAGCACTGCAGAGCCTCCCCATATCAACCCCATGTAGTGAGCCTCAAAGTCTTTCCATTTTTGAAATTCCATTCCCAGTCCAGTGGCAAAGCTAGACATTCTTAATTGTGGGATCAAAAATTAAATTACAAAAATAATAAAATAATAAAATAAAATAAAATAATCAACATAATATTAAGGCCTTGTATGGGAGGGATTAAAATCGGATTAAAATTGAAAATATAGTCGTTATTGTTGACTTTTATTAGACGAGTGGGACCCAATAACGGCCATATTTTCAATTTTAATTGGCTTTTAATCCCTCCCGAACGGGGCCTAATTAAAACAATTCAATAAATTACTATAAACGCTTTCTCATACTTTGAAATCGTCATATAATTATATTATTATCAAATATATCGTCTTCAATATATAAAATTGAATTATGATTCAAACGCCGAATCTTCATTTCAATTGTGTGGTTCAAATTGTGGGCTGAGGACCTTGAGATGCTGGTGTTGAGGTAGAAGAAAAAAAAAATTGTGATCGATCGCAAGCGTCGTTGCAGATGAGTTGAATAGAGAAAACCAGTAATTTGATAAAAGAACAAAATATCTATGGACGGAATCTTATGGAGTGCACAATTAGCTACTGAAAATTTAAGGATACCACAAATAACAAAAAGTTTTAAGGCTCTTGCTCTGTTATCACAAAATTCAGCAGAATTCCGATGCTTTTAGCTGCTCAATCAACCTGCCCTCAACAAATGGGGCAAGTGCATTTCTTATTGAGCCACAGATCCTCACATTCAACATGAAATAAATGTACAAGCCAGCAAAACTTTACACCTATCACCTTTTACAAAAGGCTCCAAGCAAATTGAACAATCTTTTGCTTCTGGAAATGCTGAGGCTTAAAAAATGGTGGTGGTTCTGGGTATAAGAACCAGCAGATGTCATGGTAGAGGACCCAGAACAACTTAAGGAATTGATATATAGAGAATTTGTGGCAAATAAGTAAACAAGAGCATGTGTATAACCTCCATTGTTAAACCTTTCAGGCAAAGGAAACGGACTTCTATCTGAAAAAAAAAATAAATAAATAAATAAAATCTGTGGGGTGTCTGACCCCACATGAGACCATGTAGATCCGCTCATGATTCCCACCCCCACCCAATCTTTTGTTTCAAGTAAAAATGTAAGCAACATCATCATCTCCTTGATGGAGATGTTAATGGAGTGTCCATTCCAAGACCAAGAAAGAGTAAAGGAGAAACTGCAACATAAAGAACCAACTTGATTATGGCTCTTCAGTCATCTAACCTGCTATGAACATGAATATGAGAAAAATGTGTTTCAGAAGCATAATATTACTTTTGTTCACTTATTTAACAATTGATTGCTGTATCAGTTACCTCAACAAAATTAGCCCAAAGTCCTCAATCAAACACAAAACGAACAAGAACCCACTTAGCACATTCGAACAGTGTACTCTCTAAAGTGGAATCACCAAGTTTATATATACCAAGATCGCTAGAAATAACCACAAATAGCACGTACACACAAAAATGCAATTTAATCACGAGAAGATGCTAACAGCCCTCATTTTCAACAAAAAGATAACCCTGTTCTCCATTAAAAGTACCTCACTCTGCCATCTTTCCATTAAAACTCAGAGCCCGTCCTAGATTCCCTGTTTCTGTCTATCCCAACTCCCTTCCTATACACCAAAAACTCACGAAGCTCACTTGAACAAGCAAGCTGATTATTTATTATTCAAGTTACACAATACTACCAGAAGAAAGTATTCAAAAAATACTACAGTTAGCCAATGTGTACAAAGGAAATCCAAATTTTCCATATTCCACAGCATTTATATTGAAAAGTTTCTAGCCATGCTCAAATCTCTACCTCCTTTTTAAAGATCCTAGCACAAACTAATTACTTTTCTCTTCAAGTTAAGCCAAAAAGTTTAAAAAAACACTAATTTTCCGTGCACATAATAGATATGAGAATACTAGAAAAACACAACTATATCTATAAAATCACCTGAATCTCCCTTCGTATTTCGTTGAAATCAAAGAATTTCTCCCCCGGCAAGTGCAAGAACTCTCCCCACTCATCTTCAGTCCCATCAGCATTCCTCTTCCTTTGCACGAGCTGCAGCACCAGTGGGCGGCGCGTGCATATATCATTTCCCCGCGGCAGGAAATCACGTCCCACGAGCGCCTCCAAGACACTAGATTTGCCGCTGCTCTGGCTACCAACCACCGCCACCTGAGGCAGTTCGATCGTGGACTGGCTCCCGAGCTGCGCAAAGATATCCTGCAGCTTGTTCACTATTGGTATCACATAGTGGCCCAATGACGCTGCCACATTGTTGCTCGACTCCGGTGCTTGCTCTTCGGCCATGCAGGTAAATTACCGTATTGAATAACTAATCGATTGGTTAACTTTGAAATTCAATATATATACTTCGAATTGAAATCTGGTGTTGAAGATCCTGTAATGAAAGTTGAATCCCTGAAGAGAATTTCGGGATTTGCGGTGGAGAACGAGAGGGTTTGAATTTCGGAATAGAGAGAGAAATGGCAATGACGGGGTTAGTGATTCGCTGGGTGGGCGCGGGGGGAGGAGATATTTGGGAGTGTCTTGGTTTCGCTGTAAGAGCGTGTTTGGTTTTGCCCAAAACTAAACAGATTGCTTAAAAGTAACTTTCGAACTTTTAATTTATTTGAAGAACATTAATAATAATAGTCAACCCTTATTTTCATCCACCGTTCTTATATATCTATCAATTTTTTAAAAAAGATTATATTACATTTTTAAAATTATGTAAAGCTACAAAAAAGGACAAAAATAAAATTATATAAAATACATCATTCTAAATTTATCCACTAATATTTATACTCATTAAAATATTTTTTGACATTTTATATTCTTTTAGATTTTACGCTTAACTACAAGCCATATATATATTGGATACACAATATAAACTTCGGTTTTATATTATTTTGACTTTTGAGAGTGGTTCATAATTCGTATAAAACGTGACTTAATTGGAATAGCCTACAACTTCTTAATTTATTCTGGATCCATTTCATACTCTCGATGTCTTGCTTATACAACCAGGTAATATTCTGGAAATTCAAAGGGAAAGTTGGGGAAATTTTCCCCACGAACAAGTTATCAATCATCATTTTTGTATTTTGACGAACAAACATAATTCTGTCGATGACGAATATGCATGCCAGAGCCATTCACAAATGGATAATCATTTTTTTTTCTTGTAAATACATTAGGTTAAAAGTTTACTAATCAAAATACTTGTTGGACACATCATGTTTGGTCCAAACATCAAGTTTCTTGAGATTTCACATCGAAACATGGATGGAGACTAGTCGACTAGATGAAAAACAATAAGCAGACTACCAAATAGATAGAATTGATGCAGCATCATATCCAAGTTGTTGGAGATGAGTTTCTGAGGCTGTAGATAGACAAGTTGATTATGCTAAATAGGGAAATTTAACTTGTTCACTCTTTTTAGAGTGAAATAAATATATCAAAATGGCATGAATATATTGTAGTTGTTTGGTAGGCATTAATTAATATTTTAATATAAATCAAATTTAAAAATTAATTTTAATTACATATTTCATGGATTTCATGACTTTTCAATTGTACATTTTATCAATTTTTTTTATCAAAATTTATTAAAAATCTAATTTTAATTCTCACAAAATAAGAGCATAATGTTTAGATAAATGAATTTAATATCGATAATGTTGAAATGTAACGATGATGAATATATGTCTTTGATTGAACCCCAATTTGTTGAAAAAAAAAATAGATTTTGTAATAGAGTAATATGTTGTTAAAAAAAAGGGTTTATGTATAAATTATTTTATTGGTGGGATGTGTAGTTGAAAATAAACTTAGAGAAAAATAAGTTTATAAGGTTCAAGGAATAGCGGCTCAATATTATTTATTATTGTGCTTAAACTAAAAAATAATAATAGAGTGTGTTTAATTGCGAACATGGAATTTGAATGGAAATAAAATAAATTATAAGCAATTCAATTGCATATAAATTATTTGTATGAAAATTATTAATTAAATGTGTTTGATTACTTAAATTTTCAACGTAGAAAATATTGTACTTATCCAATTTTTATTGGTGGGTGGATGAGAGAGTGGGTGGATGAGAAAAAGCAGTGCTACAAGTACATCAAGGGTGTCATAACGGTGTCCTTAAAGAAAATATTTTTCTTATTTTCAAGGAAAATATGGTCATGTGATCAGAAATACGAAAATATTTTTCGTAAAAAAAAAATTTAATCAAATAATACAAAAGTAAAAAATTAGATGTAAAAATTATATTTTTTATAAAAAATATTGACAATTAAAAACACCAGAAAACAAGGAATTATCTAGAAGTTGATAAACCCAATAGGATATTCGCCGGCATCCATTGACCAAACACGGCAATCCATACCGTAACACGGTGGACCTCACAACTGATTGGTCTAAATGAGCCGTGTTGACCACACGTAAAAAGCTAACCTTTTGATATTTCTAGATAGGGGCATTTATTCGTATATATATCTCTCGATCTCGATAATTTTGCGGATACAAAAGCAAACACCGTTTCCTGCACATCTCCACCGCCTCTCATAATGCCTCGCCGCAGCTCCGGTGGTCAGTTTCCACGTTTTTCTTTATCTTCCTTTACACATCGATCGATTTATTTCTGTTCTGGATATTTTCTTCGGTGGTTTCATGCTGAGAAAAATAGTAAAATTTGTTTCTTTTTTTATTACTTACAGTCAAATTGAAAATTGGATTAGTTTTAAGCTGATTTTTAATTATGTTTTCCATCGAATAAGAAGCTGGGGTTTTGAAATGGTAGGTTGTGATATCATATTTTGGTAACTTGTGTATCATTTATTTGGTGAAAACTTCATTAGTCGCCCTACAATGTTATTATTTGATACTTAAAAGGTAAAGATGAAAATGAAGTGTTTGGTACCAATACCTGTACAATTGGACAATTTTAGGTTAATTTGATCTTCTGTCATTGAATTTATAGGCCTTCGTTCTGTCAGAGCTTTGAAGTTTACTTGTGATTCGTTTTCTTTATGGATTCACTGTGAAAATGTTGGTTATGGAGGATGCTATTGAACTTATCATGTCTTCAGGAACATAAACTCCAAATCCTATACATATGTTTGGTTGAATTTGACTTGGGACTTTGTTTTTCTTCGTAAGCTATTTATTTGTATTTGTTTTACTAGCATGTCATTGGTGCGATGTGTGCATTTAGTTCTCGTGACATAGAACACAACAAGAAATATTAATTTTTATTCATCAATCAAAGTCTAGTTACAAATGAGGTATATTCAGTCCTCATCTTTTTCAATATCTTCATTCCTATCCTTGTTCCTCATCATCTTGTATCCCGACTTCTTCGCTTTAGATGTTACAGTGTTCAGTATCTTTCGTTATACTCTATAATAAACTGCATCAACCCTGTTTCTTACTCTCTTCTGTATCCTTGGTGTTGGTTAGAACACTTCCAAGGTCTTACTTTAATGTAAATGTGTACATGCATAAATTTAATGCCAAAGTTTGCATTTCAATACCTATGATTTTGGACCATAGATTATGTTGTGTTCAGTGTTATCACACTGTTGAAAGTGCCATTTGGTGTATTAGATGGCCTATGTTTATAGCTTTTCAATTCTCCACACTTTCATAATTTTGCAGGAAGATCCACACGTCCAGCTCCTCGTCCAGCAGCAACACGCAACCCACCCCCTCAACCAGGTATCTCTAATCTACTTTGCTGTATCATTTGACAATTATTTAAGGACTTGGAACCTGTTACAAAATAATTTCCATTAGTTAATTGGTCTCCTTTATCTGTTCTCCTGTCTTTGGGCTCAATTTGTATTTATTATTTAACATTGCATGTCAATGGTGGTTGTGTTACTTCGCATCTCATTGTTTTATTGTTGATTATTTCAGCGAATCATGCTCCTCCACCAGCTCCTGTTCAAGGGAACACAGGTGGATCTATGCTTGGAAACATCGGTTCTACCATAGCACAAGGTACATGGGGATAAGCTCTAATTTTTCTTGTATATATCTCTCTCGTAAAATGAACGAAGGAAGATGTTAATGCATTTTTTCCTTTTGTTTTTGTTTTTGCTTTGTAGGAATGGCTTTCGGTACCGGCAGTGGAGTGGCGCACAGGGCTGTTGATGCTGTTATGGGTCCTCGCACGATTCAACACGAAACTGTCGTCTCTGAAGCAGCTGCAGCACCAGTACCCACTGCAACTACCATGGGTGGCTCCGATACTTGCAGCATCCACTCAAAGGCATTCCAAGATGTATGTTTGACTCTATCTCCCATTGTTGGCTCCTTGTATTATAAAATTTACATCATTGCAGAAATCTTAAACTTTATACATAATTCCAACTTACATCTTCAAATTAAGTATTATTCTTAAGGCATAATCCTAGTCTGCTTGATGCTATGTTTTACTTGCCTTAAAAATCCTACTCCGCTTGATACTATGTGTGACTAAGATCTATAATCCATTGAGCTAAAACCTTCTATCTTCAGATATGCTGTGCTTATGTTTCATGGTAGATTGGTATTTCATAGATAGTGTAACCAAGGAACATTGTTTTTTGTCGTTACCGAATTTTTCTGCTTCCTTCTCCATTTGTGTTTGTCCCCAGCATCTTCTTAATAACATTACGAATTCCGGCATCTTACCGACAGAAAGTTCTGATGCAGATATTTCATCTTTGATTTCTTCTGCAGTGCTTGAATAGCAATGGCAATGACATTAGCAAGTGCCAGTTCTATATGGATATGTTGGCTGAGTGCAGGAGAAACTCGGGTTCCACAATCAGTTCCTAAGTCTCGTGTCTTTGATACATCATTATGTAGGTTATTAGTTGGTTGCAATGGAACTATAGCAAACACCACCTTTTGGTGGACATTAACATTCTCGTTTGATTTGGAATTGCTATTATGCTGACGAGAACAATAATTTTAAGATGCAAACATGGTGCTAAATGGACATATGGCTTCATTCTTCTTTATTGCTTTATTGGCTTCAATTGCTTGATCTTTTTGCTTCCACTTTTTCTTCATTTTCCCCTTTGGAGAGGGTGGGGTGAGGTCGAAAAAGCATCCCCATAAATATTATTATCATATTATACTAGAAATAGCCAAAATAGTATGTTAAAGAAGAGGAGCTGCTGTATGTACGGAAAAAGTGGTGCCAGAATTCATATAGATAACACTTGCAATTTTCTATTGGACAATGACAACAACAAAAAAAGAAAGAAAGAAAGAAAAACAGGCCAAACAGATGCTGCCACAAGGGGAATTCTGGTAGTAGTTGTGAAAATTATGGCAGCAATTCCCCTGAATAAGGGAAAGAACCATGCTAGAGTTACAGTCTTGGTTCCTAGTTTTTTTCACAGCCTCTTCACATGAGGGTGGGGCCTGCGATTGTGGGCCACACCCTCGTGTGAGAGGGCTACGAAAAAAATTGTGAACCAAAGTTGTACATTCAGCTTTATTGTAAGGGGATTGAAGGGAATTGCTGTAAAGAAATTGGTTTTGTCATGATCAAACTTTGTTTTAGGTTAGATGGGACTGTATGCATAAAGTCAATTAGATGCAATATCGTCGACTAGACACCAACATCACAGGCTTACAGCTCTCCAATTCAGAAATTTGGAGTCCCATTATCCTGTTTTTCATGTGTCATATCAATTATGGGATAATTCATATTGACTCAATTTCATTCACAATTCATATAACTTCCTTTATTGTCTCTTCGACAGTTCTATTCCCATCTAGCCTTCTGTACCAGGTTTTCCCATTTTATAGTAATTAAAATGCCATCTTATAAACATTGTTTCAGCTTGAATAACCATTGACCTTAGAAGAAATTGTGTATAAGAGGAAAAGGATAAACATTGTTCGATTAGAATGGATAACATAGACCATAGTTGACCCGAAATTCCCAACATCTTATATTAATCCCGTGAAATGTGTTGAACAAGGTTCTAAATATAAAAGACCGAAAGTCGATAAATTATCTTCCCATAGAGCCAAATATTCTATTTACAATTTCAATTTTGGTAGTAGTTTCAAGTCTCTTATCACAATTTCCCTTTGAGAAAGCTGGTACAGAGTTTCTTCCATGCCTCTGTATCTGGCTCAATAGCCTCCAACTTGGACTTGGCCTCTTCCGCAACAGACTCCTGGACAGATAGATACAATAAATGTATGTATAGAGTTGATAAGAGTTTAATAAGTCTGCTGGACACTAATATACCTTAATGAGATTGCAATTGAGAAGACGATCGATTATATTCAGCAAAATGTCCTTAGTGTACTCTGGGTGACCTTGGATGCCCATAATATGGTCACCGTATTTGAACATTTCAATCCCAGTTTTGTTTGACCGTGCTATAACTTCCGCTTTTGGAGGAAGCTCCCTGACCTAAACCATATTTCACTCATTGAGTTGCTAATTTTCAAGTTGGAGGTGGTGTGAATGGTTGGACATACCTCGTCCTGGTGGCATTCAATGACGGATAAGAAAGTCGGCATATTCAGGGATGTGAAGATCTCTGATGATTGTAAATGAATCTGTGTGACTCCAATGTCCCAACCAGAAGTGGCGCGACCAGTCCTGCCACCCAAAGCTCGTCCCAATATCTAGCAAAAATAAAGGTTGCATGTATCATTCATCAACTATTTACTAGACATGACGACCAAATTGCTTGGTACACATTATAAGTTATATGTTACACGTATATAAAACAGAACAAATAATATTCTTTTGTGATTTCTAACTAGAAAAATAACCACCCTGTGTTCTTTTACTTTGGTACACAAAGAAAAGGAAAGTAAAAGATTCTAAGGGTGCATGAACATGGAAACACAAAGCATGATTTTGACTTGTTGGGATGTAATCGATCATCCTAATCACCCCACGATAAGAACCAAAGGTTCCATCACTTTTTATCTATTACATTATGTGACTGTGCGTGTGAGAGAGTATGGTTGACATCTAAATTAAAAGATCAAAAGGAAATGATGTTGGATCTCACTAAATTAATACGACAATCGTGAATTATTCTATACATCATTACGGGTCCATTTTGTAAGGTTCTTTTTTTTTTTCCCTTGCTGCAGAATTCTATGTTTAGGTCAGTTTCTTCTAAAAGTTCTTTAACACTTTCAAAAAATTATTATTCAAACATATTCAAAAGTAACTTCTTAATTTTAGAAATAATTTTGAACTTTTCAAAAACTCTGTCGAACGAGCCTCCTCAAATCGAAAATTTTAGGGCGGGCCAAATATGTATATGCTATGTGCTTACACACTACCATAAATTCTTTACGAGTGGATAACACAAACTAGTCTTATTGGTATATATGTGAACCATATAATAAAAGCATAGCCGTGACACCCTTGTATTTTGGACCACCATACTATTCCAAAAGCTGAAACAAACAACATAAATATCTATTTATGTTCTCTCTCACTCTTCGTAGTTTACCTAGGTGTCAAAATGTGCGAAATCTCCTTGCACATAAAAGTGCAACTCAAACATTGAACCCATCTAGTTATATTGTACTATGGTTAGTCACATGCTCGAGTCAACAATTTAATTCGAATGTCAATTATATAACACTAATTCCAAATTATGTTGGGAAATTTATAGAATTCAACCATCAATTTCAGTCTTTTTTGGAAATGTCTTTAATTTATATTTTGTTTCCTCAATTTTTAGGGGACGTCTCATTCTTATTTTTCTCTCTTTTCTTTTCAGTCACACATCTTTCATTAAAATAATATTACGCAAGGATAAAAAATTCATTTTTTTAACCGCACATTTTTCATCCATCTACTGTTCTTATATGCATAGTTCAAAAATAACGGAGTTCAAATGCCCCTTAATTTAATATAAACAACTTGTGTCCATTGACAAACTCAAAGATTAGAATATTATTAAAAAAAAAAAAAAAACTCAATTAGAACATTTGTCCCATTGAAGCAAAGTGTAAAAACATAACTGAAAACGCGGTCGACAAAAATAAACAAACTAAATACATATTCATGGTATTATGTTTAGGATTCGTTTTGTAAGAATTTTACTTATCGTATAAGATAGATTACTTCTAAAAAATTATTTAAAACACCTTTTAATTTTCAAATGCTCTGTCAGACGAACCTTCATCATCATCATCATCATGCGTGGTTCAACATTAGGATTCTAAGAAAAGTACTATATTATAATAGGCATTAACACCAGAAAACAAGGATAGCTGTCTAGAGATGAATTTCAAATACACACAAAACTGCTTTAAGTAAAACGAAAATGGCGTGAAGAATACCTGGTGACCAAAACAAATGCCTAGAACCTTCTTCTTCATCGCATCCAATTTCTTCAAAAAAACTACGAGTTCACAGATCCATAAATCATTACCATGGGCGTCGCTACAACTACCGGTGATAACAAATCCATCGTACTCTCCGATCTCGTTATCTTCAGGAAACTCGCCTTTTGAAACCTTAAACACGTCCCATGTTTCGCCTTCTTCACCCAGCATTTGCACAAAAACCCCAAAATAACCTCCGTATAGTTTCTTCACGTAATCTGAGTCCTCTGCACAAAGAAGAACAGCAAACTTATTGCTACCCATTCTCTCTCTCTCTCTATATATATATGTGTGTGTATATATTGCTGGAGACAGAAAGGGTGAGAAGCTGTTCTTCTCGGGGAGTTTTTTTTCCTTTAGGCTTGAGAGAGGTGATGTAGCGCAGTATTTCTAAAACAAACTGATGGAGTTAAGACTTAAGAAGAAGGTTAGCCCCTGTTTGCCCCCCATTAAATTAAATTTTTGGGGGTAAATAATTTTTAGAATAGTGATTGATGGGAGATGTGTGGTTAAAAAATTTTTGATTTGTGTGTATTATTATTTTATTTGATGAATGTATAGTTGAGATGAAGAAAGAGAAAAAATTAATGTAATGGAATGTAATATAATGGGGGCCAAACAAGGGCTTAGAGTCAATTGAATTTACGGATCTGCCCCTTTGTCAATATTCGACATTCCTTTTTTATAAATTTGTTTCCCTTTCTAAAAAATATGTTTGGAGATTTCTAGGTCCTGTTTGAGAGGAATTAAATTTTAGGCCCTGTTTGAGAGGAATTAAATTTTTCTACAGTAAATCAATTCTTATTTTCAACCATATATTTTTCAATAAAATAATATTTTTCACCACATCAATAATTTTTTCTTCTTTTTCAAAAACACATTTCCCATCATATCACTATTCAAAATCAATTCTTCCCCCAAAAATCTCTTCCAAACAAACTCCTAATTTTATGTGTAAAATTATTTTATTCGAAAAATATATATTTCAAGACGACTTTTAAAAAATTTATATCAAATAGTAGCTGAATTGCATCATCACTCTAAAAATAAAAATTTAAAAGATTTAGCCAGTGTTTGATTTGGATTAAAATTCAATTAAAATATAAAGTCAAAGTCAACACTTAATTTTAAGAACACATTTCATTAATTTTTATCAAAATCTACTAAAAATCAGATTTTAATATCTACCAAAGAAGGGCTTAAATTCTGGTTTGGTAAAGAATTTTTGAAAATATGTTTTGTGAAACGTGATTGTTTGAAAAATGTGTTGTTCGATAATAAGAAAAATTATCGATATGTTTTATGAGAACGTATAATTCAAAACGAGTTTGAAGATAAATGAATTTAAAAAAAAAAAATGAAATCCAAACATGGAGCTGTAAAATAAGGAAAATAATTATAGATAGTTACAAATTTAGCAGTTAGCATAAAATGGTCAAAATAAGTTAAAAATTAACTGAGTCACTTGTAAATTACCAGGGCAGAATTAAAATTTAAAGGACGGATTTATCGCAGAATCCGCAGTATTTTTAGGGAGGTGTACGTGGAAGTTGTCACGTGAGATTTTATTAGAGCATCTGTCACGTGCAATCTCATCACAATTGGCACGAACACGTGTGCCTATCTTGATCGGATTTGGACCCCCCGGATTTAATTATTTAAAGGTTATTTTTCTTTTCCACATTAAAATTTATAATTTTTTTTTTAAATTTTCACCCATATGAACTTCGAATGAAAGTCTCGAACTCGAATCAATAACTTGACCTGATAAGATTTTGCTCTTAGCCCATGTTTGGTGCACATTTTTACTCCAAAAATGCATTTTTTTGGTTGATGTGATGGGGATTATGTGGTTGAAAATGAAGGAAAAGTTATTGATGTGATGGAAAATATTATTTAATTGAAAAATGTGTGGTTGAAAATGAGCAAAAGAATGAAAATTAAAAAAATAATGTGGCTCAAATGGGGGCTAATTATTAGAGCTAAGTCTTGATCTCACTTTTGCCCCCGTTTGACACTCATTGTCTCATTCTCTTTTTTCTTTCTCCATTTCAACCACACATTCTATCAATAAAATAATACTACACATAAATTCAAAAATTTTCATTACTTTTTAACCACACATTCTTTCATCAATCACTATTCCAAAATTTATTTTTTCTTCCAAATGGGTGTCAAACATAACTTTTTCAATGAGCCATTTGTAAGGGAGTGATTGACACCCATTTTAATGGGTTGAAAAATTTTGGAATAGTGATTGATGGGAGAATATGTGGTGGAAAAGTAATGAAAAATTTTAGATTTTTGTGTAATATTATTTTATTTGGAGATTGTGTGGTTGAAATGAAAAAAGAGAATAAGAATGAAAAAAAGAATGGGTGCCAAACATGGGCTAAGTAACATAAGTTACATAATTATCAATAAGTAAGAAAGCTGATCAAATCTATTTGTGTCATGTTTGGTTCAACGAAAAAATGAATCAAGATTGTAGTTAAATTTCATTATTTTTTCAAAAATCGTATACAAAATTGAGGACAACAACAAAATTTTCGAGAAAAATACTTAATTTGTTATTATGTATTGATTAGCTAAGTTTTTAATTGTTTATATACAGTAAGTCTAAACAATGTACGACTAAAATTGCGAGCCCTACACCCCTCGGGGCACATCCAAGTTGGCAAAGGATGAGCACTGCTGGGCTTGCAACCTCAGGATGGGGAGTTCGATTCCTGAATAGAGCAGTTGAGTGTTGTAATATTTAATTTGGATGGAGCAGTTTGGTGATGTAATATTTATGGAGGAAGGCTCCCTTGGGCCCAAGAGTATAAATGGTGCACAAACCCTGGTCAATTTGGGCATATCCTGCGGTTAACCTCCACCTATCCCTGAAGGCCCGGGGATGGGTGGTTCAGGACATAGTCTGGTGTAAACTAAGATACCTGGATATAAAAAAAAAAAAATTTGCGAGCCCTACATTCTGTGTGGATAAAAACAGTGACAAATCTTCAAATGATTTACAATAAAAACCCTAATGGTGCGTGACTAGAATACCCAATCAACTCTTATAAGTTTGGAAAGACTTCAATATTAAATCTTATCAAATTCGGTTAGGGGTGTCCAAAAGTCCCGAACCAAATCGAATCGAGCGGTTCTTCATAAATTAAATACCCGAACGGGTACCCGAATCGAGAACCGATGGGTTTGGGTCGGGTCTCGGGTCTAGACCAAGAACCGAAGAACCGAATAAGAACCGAAACTAAATAATTTTTTTATTTTTTATATTGAATTAATTAAATTATTTTATTTTTTTCTAAACAAATTAGCAAATTAATTAAATAAATCAAAAATACAGAACCGAACGGAACCGAACCGAACCGAACCGAACCGAACCGAACCGAACCCGAACGGTTCCATAATTATATTTGGACCCGACGGGTCCATTTATTAAATACCCGAAAGTTTTGGGTCGGTTCGGATATCTTCAGAACCGAACCGAACCGACCCACGGACAGCCCTAGTAGCCAAATATAGTTATGTTCCGTTTAGCTAATCTTTTTTAATTGCATATTTTAATTGATCCACATATACTATCTATTTGCCAATAACTTATTTCTATCTATTTATAAATATTTATCAAACGAATAGCATATTTGCTCTGCACATAATTTGGTTAATTCATATTAGAGATATATAAAAATGGATGGGTCGGTTCTAACTTGTTTGTCAAACTGTTGAACAAGACAGACATGATAAATCAAAATGTGTGTGAAGAAAATTTAATTAAAAATACGTTGTCCGAAACATAAAGGAGATTTAATCTTGCTTGTGGAAGTACATTTTCTTGTAGATACAAGTTTTCACATTGAAAGTTTCTTTGAGTTTAGCCTCATGTTTCAATTATAATAGTAATAGAGTCAAACATTATAATTGTGTTCTTTGACTTGACAAATTGTACTTGTGGCCGCCTCCTGATTTTATTATTTTTGGACTACATATGTAACACTTTGAAAAATTCTACGTTGTACTTCGGCTCGAGGAAATTAATAATTAATGAAAAAGTTAATAAATTATTTTAGATATCATTATTTCTTTTACGTCAATTCAATAACATGCCTAAAATATATCACGTCTAGACTAATTTTGAAATTGTAAAGTAGCTAGAAACTCTTCGAAAATGATGTCAAACTTTGATGGATTCAACATCAAAATCTACCGTTGAATTTCGGTGGTCGACAAGAATTTTCTGCTGAGAGTATTAAAGAAGTTAAGTCAATATTTTCAAAAAATACTTGAAAAAAATAGGAGATATAACTGCAGTTGCCTGGAAACTCTGGACAAAACAAACCCTTCAATTTCCCAATTTCAACCTATTAAAATAAATGAATAAATAACAAAAGTGAAGAAAAAGTCAATAACCCAAAATGAAAGCGTCAGAGGGTTGACCTAATTAACCAAGAATTTCCTAACTTACCCAAAAAGAAAAATCAGAAATAAATTAAAAGAAAAAGTATTTTTATTTTCGAATTATATCCAAATTGATTCCCACGATGAAATTTTGTAGCCCATTACTTAGACAAAGGCAATGGTAACTTTTCTTCTAAAAGTATTTTATGTCATTCATTTATATGTCTAATACGTTTATGACAAGTTACTTAATTAAAAGTACTTATCGCAAGCTTTTGATTAGTTGATGTCGAGCAAAGTGTGTTTGTAAAACGCGATTTAGGTTCGCAATTTTCAACATCTTATCACTGGAATTCACAGATTTTTTGACAATGAGATTGATGATAAGACATTGAAAATCATCACATTTTGCAGACATACTTTGCTTACGTGGATGTCTTATATGGTCAACGTACGAAATCTGTTTGACACGTGGGAAGATTATATTTGACAATTACTTTCTCAGCTCTTACAAAAAATTGAGTTCGTCGAATTTATTTTCATTATTCTTAAATGATATAAAACAATAATAAAATTCATGTTGATTTTGTAGTCATAAATAGTTCGTTGAAGTAGTTGGTGCCTTTTATTGCATAGTTTATTTTTTTATTGGACGACCATCTTTGTATACCATGTAATAACGACGTTGATGTCACAAGTCGGATTCAGACGAGTAGCAAAACGAAGAAAGCAAATATAAGTCGTTATTTCAATGCTCTACATTCCTGCCACAAGGAAGGCGGAGTTAGCAATTGCTGGAAAAGAGCCAACTTCGCTCTTGGACTTATCGTAAAAGGTATTCTGTATGAGCATTTATAGGACAAAAAAATTGGGTGGCCATCATAGGAAAGACCAAATATCACATTCATATATAGACAACGACACTAAGGTTTGTTTTTCTTTTATGTAAATAATGCAATATAATTGAGCTATTAATTGTTATTCGCGTGACATGCTTGGTAAGTAGATAACGATAATAGTATTTCAAATAAAATTTAAATACTACTACGTGTATTGTTCGATAATGAACATATTATAATTAAAGATCATTTTCTTGATGCTGCCAAAATATTTTCATATGATCTTGCATAATCTTGATTTTAAGTGAATTAAATTAGGAAAAAATAAAAGGAATTAAATATGTTTACATACACAAGGAGGGCATCCATCAAGTTATCCATTTCTCTAATTATTATAATCTAGAGAGAATATAGAGAGAAAAGTAGAGTCTCAAAATTTTTATGTAATTCATTGAGAATCAAAACTCTATATTTATAGGTTAGAATTAGAGATACAAGTGTATAATGGTCATTCAAAAACAAATTAATTTATAACACTTACATTGAATGTCTATCTACACAATAAATTAGAATTAGAGATACAGGTGTATAATGGTCATTCAAAAACAAATTAATTTATAGCACTCGCATTGAATGTCTATCTACACAATAACTAACTCATTAAAAATCTTGTTTGAGACAAATCAAGTTAAAAAGAGTACAGTTAATTGTAAAAGAATTTGGACTATCAAGACGTTGCCTCGGTAAAATCTTATCAAGAAAGTTCAGTGGGACATTACCTAGAGGAATAAAAATGAGTGCGAATGTTCTCTCACATGAACATCCATGTATTGTATGCCAATGCCACAATTCTAGTCATGTATTTTCATTTTGTCGAGTTACAACCTCAAATTAGTATATTTTTCATACAAAATATTCATCTATCACTGGTTGATCATAGCTGGCACAATGATTCAATACAATTACATTTAAAAACAAATATTGTTGTTACTTTCTTCATGAGTCTTGTATATAATTTGTAACACATGATACTAAAATCATAGAGTTATGAGGATAGACGTAGATTATTGACATTCATGACTATAATATTTACAACACTCATTAGATATTCATCATACAAATAATATCTCGTTAAGACCTTCTTAGAAAAAAAAATATGTGAAAAATCTTTGATATATTCAACGGGTTTATAGTCTTGATCGATAGGTGCGGGTAATATTCAAAATTTCATCATGATGGAGTAGATCAATGCAATTGTTGATCTTCAACAAGAAATTACTAATAAACACAAATCACATAGCTAGCCACTCCTACCCATTGAAGGGTTTGGACACATTTTTGTACCTAATTATAATATATTCCATCACCATTTTGCGACATTTTCTTTGGTTTGTAATTTGTTTTTGTTGTTTTGGTGTGTGGTTTGTTTGGCATTGATGAAGTCCAGACAATGTCCGTTTCTGGTGAGCGGGGGTGCTTGAGTGCTGAGTGCGTAGTTGGCTTTATGTAGGGTTTTTCAAGCCTTGGTAAAGTCACAGATGTTTTCGACTTCTTTGTCATTGTTTGTTTCAGGTCGTGTATAGCTTGTTTGTATTTAGTGCTTGAGTGCTGAGTGCGTAGTTGGCTTTATGTAGGGTTTTTCAAGCCTTTGTAAAGTCACAGATGTTTTCGACTTCTTTGTCATTGTTTGTTTCGGATCGTGTATAGCTTGTTTGTATTTGGGTCTTGTTTTGTGTTTGTGGTTGCTGTTTGGGCCGTGGAAGTACTTTATCTCTCTTTGGAGAGCGTGTGTTGGAGGTTTTTCTCCGTGTATCTGCTTTATACGCCTTCTATGAATACAAATCTTATTTGAATCAAAAAAAAAAAAAAAAAGCTCTATGGAGCTGTTAAAGACTTGGAGGTGCAAGAATTAAAAGTTCGTTTATCGAGGAGGCATACAAAAAGTGTCATTTTCTAGTCTGTACTAGACTCGTGTTCCTCAAGTCCTCTCCCTCAAAATCTCTCCATAATTCATAAAAATTCCAAATCCAAGCTGCAAAAACATCAAAGAAAACAGATCATTCTTAAAATTCAAATGGGCCTCTTGAATTTCCTCAAGTTTACTCTCTTATGCATTGATGTTCTTGCCTGGTAAAATCTTACACTTTACTTTTTACCTTAATTTGAAGTAAAGATGTTGAATCTGTCTGGAAAAACCCAGTTTTTCATGCTGTGTTTTGATCTTTGTGTACCGATCCCTTTAGTTCTTTTTCTTGTTCTATTTTTACTTTAATATGTTTGTATACATTTGTACGATGTAAAGTATGTCCGTACGTATGCATGTTTTTTGTACGTACACTTATATCTTCTTGCTCAAATATTACTTGCAGGCCTGTATTTGCTCTGGCCTATCCTCTGTAAGCTCCATCTTTTGTGTGTATATGTTTTTCTATGGTATTTTTGATGATGAAATTTAATGATTTCTTGATTGTTTCAGATGTGCTTCAATCCGAGCCATTGAAAGTGGCTCTAAATATCACATGAGAAAATTGGTCATCTATTGGACCCTTTTTTCTCTCATTTCTCTGTTTGAACTTGCTTTCATCAAACTCATTGAGTGGTATGTTTGTGTTGCTATAATTTTCTTGTCCATTGTAGACTCGTATTCAATATTGCATACCAAACATACACTGGAGGCTACATGATAAAATTTCCTTGTGTAATTTCAGGATACCACTATGGTCTTGTATAAAATTCATAGTCATATGTTGGCTAGTTGTGCCTCGGTTTGATGGTGCTTGCTATGTTTACCAAAGGCTTGTGAATCCTTGCTCGTCTGTGAATCTACGAGCTTTAGTCAGTCAGCTTTGCAGACCAAACGAGGAGCAAAGCCTTACGACAGAAACTCTCGTTGCAGTGACAGAGAGATACATTAAAGAGAATGGTTCCGAAGCCTTTGAAAACCTTATGAAAAGCAAGGTCAGCAACACGATACATGTTCGTCTATGCCGAGCTCAAAGTTTGCTAATTTCGGGCTATGTTATGTTTAATGAATTCTCTTAGTAGCATATTCATGCTATGTCTTTTTTTATGGTAACATAATAGAACTGTTTATAATTTAAGTTGGTGAAAATAAGTTAAACTTGTTCATTCCCTAATGATCCATTTGTTTCTCTCTAAAATCAGCTTAAATGCATAGAACCTGATAACGTTCAGAAAGATATCGAACAGCTAGAATCAAGAGATAAAATTGATGCAGATACTACAGAACAGGTAAGATTAACCACTCCTCCCCTGGCAGTGTCTTTCTAATGCCTCATCGTGTCGGTTTTTTGAATTCAAAGTCCTTAAAGTGCCATTTGTTATATTCTCTATCTCGCCGAAGTGCAAAGAACCCGAGGTTGCTCAGAAAGACATTAACGCACTGGAAACGTCAGAGAAAATTGCATCAACTACAGAGGAACAGGTTAGATTCCTTGTCATGTCCATTTTTTGGTTTTGCGGTGTTGAATTGTGGTGATTCTATGATTGCATACCAATTGATTAAGCAAGGACTGTATTATCTTGTCTAATTTCGCAAAGAAACTACAGTTTTATGAAAGCTTGGTTGTTAATATCTCTTCGTTACCCTGTTATACACATTCAGCACGAAGATGCTAAGATTTCAGAAAAGATACTGAGAGAAGAAGCATATGAGAGAGTCCCGGAAGTTCCTGTGCAGAAAGTTCAGCGAGAATGGGCTTGTGCGTTATGTCAGGTGACAACCTCAAGCGAGAAGATTCTGAATAGCCATCTTCAGGGGAGGAAGCACAAGTCCAAGTGCGATGAACTAAAAAGAAGCAAACAAGATACAAAAAGCAGAGGATCTTCACCATCTGGGACTCATAAATCAAAGCACGGGAACCTTGAGCCAGAAAAGGGTAACATCGGTGAAGGATTGAAGCAAAATTTAAACAGCAAAATGGAAGAGACAGTTCAACCTCGTGCGAGAAGTGATCGAAAGAGGCAGGAGCAAACAACACCATATGGTGCTGGCAGTAATCAGACGCTTAAACTGTGGTGCAATATATGTAAAGTAGAGTTGCCGGGTGTGAATAACCTTACTGATCACCTTCGGGGGAGGAAGCACTCTTCTAATATTCAAAACATGTTCAGTGGTGATAATAAGAATGAAGTTGGAACAGGTTGGTTTACGTGGAAAGAATGAAGGAACAGGTTGGTAGTTCGAGTCTCTTGTAATCATCAACAAATGTGTTAATGCTACTTAAGGATATTCGAAGTTGGACATTTGGAAGCTGTTGAGGGTAAATTTCACTTATGAATTGATCGCTTCTCTTCTAAAAGTATAGTTAGGTCATGCTTTTATATGTTTCATACGTTTATGAAAAGTTACTTAAATTAGAAGTATTTATTGCAAGCTTGAGATTAGTTGATGTCGAGCTCCCTTATTTACAGCCAATTGCTTTGATATCTTGTTATAATTTAGAGATAACGATGTCAGGTTTAGTACTTAATCAATTGATTTTTAGTTAATCTCGATTTTAGTTGCAAGATTGTCTTTAACACTTATTGTCCTCATGCAACTCTTTAAACTCTAAAATCTCAATCTAGTATTCAATGTCATGTAATTAGTTTTTGAAAGGTCACTTAACTATACTAAGTATTACTATTTAGAACTTGTTTGAGCCCCATTTTTGTTGAAGAATGCATTTTGAAACAGTAGATTGATGATGAATGTGTAGTTAAAGAATAAGAAAATTTTTGGGTTTGCGTATAATATTATTTTATTGAAAAATGTGTGGTAAAAAAGAAGAGAAAGAAAAGTGTATTTTGAAAATAATGTGGATCAAACAAGGGCTTAATAACTAGGCTTAAAATTGTATCTCAATATTCATTAAATTGTGCATCGTGTTATTATCCAGCTGTTACTTGAATCTATATAAGGGCACAGATATTGAGTAAGAGATTAATTATGATGGAAATAAGAATTCTAGTTTTCTTTGAGAATGGGAATTATGAAATGGGTCCAAGGAGTGAAGAGCAAATTGATAAATCTTTATCCTTCCCCTCCCACGATGGCATCTGACGACAATCAAAATAGAACTGTGCTCCTCAAATAGTGTGGGGGGATCGACATAAAACAGGGGCTAAGGTGCCAGTGATGGCACCTCAGCTCCCTGTTTTTGGTAGGTCATTGACCCTGTTTGAGTGGCATTTTCCATCAAAATAATCCACTACCTCTTTTGCCAGAGAATGTCGACTGGACAGGTCTAATCATTTCTTTCTGCTTTTGGTATTGCAATGTTGCCACCAAGTCAAAGAGAAACCTTAAAAATGATCTTTTTGTGTGTTCTTGTGATTCTTGCATTTTCGTTCATGTGGGTGAGAAAATATATCCAAAGCAGGTATCCAGACTGGGCCAAAAGGATGGAAATGGTCGAAATATTGCGTACTTCCACAGCTTTCTTTTTAAGTATTAGTACGAGTTTCTCGTTAATCCTCGAGATATTTTCGTGGTTCATTTACATTCTTTGTTTGATTGTCATATTCACATGCAATTGATGCTAGTATATAATCTGCCTGCAGCTCAACTGAATTCTTTTTGAGAAACGCAAGATTTGACCCTACTACACCTAGAGGGGAGTGATTAGGTGTAAATGCGGAATTAACACTTTAATTAACAAGCAACAAGTCACAAGTTAATTATGTCTAGGTGATTAGTCAACCAATTCAGATTTTCTTATCTTTGAATACCGCAGTAAAATCAAAACAATAAAGAAAGCAGTAAACAACACCAGAATTGTTCACGGAGAAACCCAACGTGGGAAAAACTTCGGGCACTTTACCAATCAAAAACTATTGATAAAACTTACAGACTACTAGTAAAGTTGACGACACAAGCTTTCTGATCTCCTATCTGAAGGTTGAAGTAGCCCTCCTGGAATGTGTGCACCAACATCAATCCTGGCTCTTCTTAGTAAACCAGTCCTCCTGGATTGAACACATGTTGAGGTTAGGACTGAGAATACACAATTTATCTCCTGTAGGTCTTCTCCAAGAACTCCTCGTTCTTCAAATTTTTCATTGATCTGCTACACAGCCAAGTTGACGAAACAATCTTGCAGCAGACCCGATCGAAGAATCCAATTAGTGTTTGATTTGATGGCCTTGATGTTTTCAATGAGTAGAGCGCATATGAATTGAAGGATTGAACTTTTGATCTTGTGTAGGATGAATTCTCTCTTGAATAGAATGTGTTCAATCTGCGTCTCTATTTATATGTTGGACGAATTAGGTTGAATAGGCCAAGAAAAAATCTTGAAAATCGAAATTAAATCTGGTCGAAAAACATGGTCGCTCGAGCGAGGAGTATACTTCGCTCGAGCGAAGGGTCGAGCGACATGCGGGCGAAGATTTTGCTCTTATTATTAGAGCCAAGTCTTGATCTCACTTTTAACTTTTTCAATGAGCCATTTGTATTAAGTAACATAATTATCAATAAATAAGCAAGCTGATCAAATCTATTTGTGTCATGTTTGATTCAACGAAAGAATGAATAAAGATTGTAGTTAAATTTCATTATTTTTCCAAAAATCGTACACAAAATTGAGGACAACAACAAAATTTTCGAGAAAAATACTTAATTTGTTATTATGTATTGATTAGCTAAGTTTTAAGTTGTTTATACACAGTAAGACTAAACATTGTAAGGCTAAAATTGCGAGCCCTACATTCTATGTGGATAAAAACAGTGACGAATCTTCAAATGATTTACAATAAAACCCTAATGGCATGTGACTAAAAAACTCAATCAACTCTTTTAATTTTAGAAAGACTTCAGGGTTAACTCTGATCAATTATGTTCCGTTTAGCTAATCTTTTTTAATCGCATATTTTAATTGATCCACATGTACTATACATTTGCCAACAACTTATTTCTATCTATTTATAAATAAAAATATTTATAAATACTTATCAAACGAATAGCGTATTTGTTGTGCACATATTTTGGTTAATTCATATTAGAGATATAAAAATGGATGGGTCGGTTTGAACTTGTTTGTCGAACTGTTGAACAAGACGGACATGATAAATCAAAATGTGTGTGAAGACAAAGGTTCTCAATGGGTGGACAAGCAGGGACGGATCCGAGTGCTGGATTTGCCTGAAATTTTTTTAAAATAAGATTTATGAAATATATATATATATATATATATATATATTTTCGAATTATATCCAAATTTATTATGATTCCCACGATGAAATTTTGTAGCCCATCACTTAGACAAAGGCAATGGTAACTTTTCTTCTAAAAGTATTTTACGTCATGCATTTATATGTCTAATACGTTTATGACAAGTTACTTAATTAAAAGTACTTATCGCAAGCTTGAGATTAGTTGATGTCGAGCTGCCTTATTTACAACCGATGGCTCTGATATCTTGTTATAATTTATCGATGACGATGTCAAGTTTAGTACTTAATCAATTGTTTTTCAGTTAATCTCGATTTTAGTTGCAAGATTGTCTTTTAACACTTTAAACTTTAAAATTGTCCAAATGTAACTCTTTAAACTTTAAAATCTCAATCTAGTATTCAATGTCGAGTAAAAAATTCATGTAATTAATTTTTTGAATTGTCACCAAACTATACTAAGTATTACTATTTAGAACTTGTTTGACGCCTGTAAACTTGGTGTTTAACAATTTGGCCCAATATTGTGACAGCCCAATTCTATAATATTTGGGTTCTATGATGCACCCATTACTATTTGTAAGGTGGCCAGCCCATTGGAATGCAACCTGGTAGCCCAACTTATTACTTATCTCTATGGCTGAGATTGTGACACATGGTTGAGATGCGACCGTTGGATGCTTCTACCGTTTGATATTATTTTTGGCCAGTCTCTTCGTTGCTCTTAGATGTTCGAGATCCTTCTAGGGTTTACTCTTTGGTTCTCTCGTTTCTTTCTCTCTCTGAAAACCTTTGGTTTTCGCCTATAATCTTGTATCTAGGTGTTTCTTGGTGAGATCTAATGTTTAATTAAGGGCTGATCTTTTGTGGATCTGTTGTAGTGTAACCTTGATCTTGATATTTTGTTGGTCTCTAGTGGATTGGAGCGTTAATCACTTCGGTAAATGCTCAACGGGTGACTAGCCCTAATTTTGGGGTAAACATTCGGGCCTTAGGGCGAAAAATCATTTGTGTTCATCTTTGTTTCTGTATTACTTTGTGTTTTGGGGCCTGTATAATTTCTACAGTGGTATCAGAGCACTTCGATCTTCCTATCTGAAACTATTTCTTGCTGTTCTTGGTGAACGTGTTTCCTGATCTTAAAGATCCTTTACCAGAAATTGTCTGGTTTGCATCCTTGGCAGATTGGTAAAATAGTTCTGGTTTTCACTATTTTACATTCCTTATCAAAGGACTTTGGTAACGAGTTTCTAACCATATATTGTTATTTTTCGAACAATAGTTTGGATCTCTTTGTTGAACCCTTCTGGATCTTCATTTGTCTAGGGTTTCTTCTGAAAACCCTAGAATCTGAGGGGACTGGGATTAACGGTTCTTCAAAGATTACCTGAAATTCATTACTCTTACATGTCGCTTATTATTGTTGACTGATTAAGTTTGTGTTAACTTGTTACCTGTCTGTCTGACTATTTTGAACTGTGAACACTTGCGAGATATACATAAACTTTGCATCATTTATTTTATCTATGGGTGTCTCATTAGTCTTTCTGTTTGCTCTGCCTGCACTGCATCATACTTTACTACCTTTGTCTGCATTGTTACTATGGGTAGTACTAAGGTTGATGTGGAGATTTGGAATGGAAAATGAGACTTTACTCTCTGGAGTAGAAAAATGAAGGCTCTATTAATTCATTTTAAATATGCAAGGGCTATTAATGAATCTTGGGGGGGATGAAGTGGCAGATACTAAAAGAATTGAACAAGTAGAAACTGCATGGAATACTATCTTTTTGCATTTATCTGATTGTGGCATTATAGAGGGTGGAGAGACTGAGACTGTAGCTGAAATTTAGGCTAAACTTGAATCACTTTACCCAACTAAGTCACTTCCCAACAAATGTTTTTTATGGAAACAATTTTTTCAGTTCAAATTTGAACCCAACTGTGACCTTGAAAACAATCTTGATAGATTTAATAAACTTTCTCAAGATCTCACCAATAGTGGTGAGAAGC